CCTACCTACGCCCTGAACCTGGCCACTAAAAACCAGACAATACTCCTGCACCGTCACCCGACACGCACTATGAGGACCGCGGTCCCCCTAGTGCATGCCGAGAGGGCGGGTGTGGTCGCGGAACCCGTCTCCGAATGGCCGCGAAGCAAATCAGTCCTACAAGCTTTAGATGCCTGTTTAGTCAAATCGAGCCTCCTGCAAGAATGCCACCAAACCCTTAACACGGTAGGGTAAAGCAATTCTATTACTATCCAATGGATAAAGGGACACAGTGGATCACGCAGTATCGACGCTGCGGATGAGCTGGCCCGGAAGGGGTCCGATTCGACCCCAACAGGTCCCGAACCAATCGTCCCGATACCAGTTAGCTGTGTCGTAAATAAAATCTGCGAGCACACAGCCGCATTACACCAGCAACACTGGCTCGAACTAGAGACGTGCAGGCAGACGAAGCTCGCTTTGCCACGGGTGAACGCTGTCCTCTCCAAAACTCTTCTACAGCTAAGCAAACCTACATTGCACATGGTAACAGGTGCTATTAACGGACATGCACATTTTAACAGACATCTTTTTAACTTAGGTGTCACGGATAACCCTCTATGCAGAGGATGCATGGAGGCAGAAGAAACAGCTACTCACGTTCTGCTGGAATGCAACGGAGTGGCCGAATACCGGGCGAAATACCTCGGCTCACCGGGAAACCTCCAAGAGGCAGTCACAAATGTGAAGGCCCTGGGGGCGTTCCTGATGAAGCTGGGCTGGCTGGAGTGATTCCGGCTATACACCCTCCTAACGCAAAACAGGCGCCATAAGGACGTCGAGTTGCGGAAACGCCGTTGAAAGAAGAAGAAGAGAACAGTCTCCCTCACGAGTGTATTATGGAGGCACTACGTTTTCACTGCGTGCCTCCATACCTGCGAGCCATCGTGGAGGACTACCTGCAGGGGAAGTCAGTCTTCTACGAGTGGCCCGATGGAAGCGTATGCTCTCGCGCCATGGCCGCAGGGGTACCCCAGGGGTCAGTGCTGTGTCCACTGCTCTAGAACCTGGGGTACGACTGGGTGTTGCGAGGCAGCATTCTTCCCAGCATGGAGGTTGTCTGCTTCGCCGACGACACGTTGGTGGCGGCGAAGGCAAAGTCGGTAGAGGAGGCGGTTCGCCTGGCGTCGGTCGGCCTCTTTGCCGCATAGTGCAGATACTGACCGGACACGGATGCTTCAGTTACTACCTGTACCGTATCGCCCGCCGGGAAGAAACGCCGCAGTGCCATCACTGCGGCGCCCGCAGCGCTGCGACCTAATTGCGGCACTGGGAGGCGGAACCCTCTCGCTGAAGAGCATGGTAGAGGCCATGCTCAGTAGCGAGACGGCATGGAAGGCGGCTGCCTCCTTTAGCAAGAACGTCTTCTCGTAGAATGAGGCAGCCGAGAGGGAGCGGGAGGATGATCCCCTGGCCGCTCCCACCCGCCGAAGAAGAGTAGGCAGGAGATGACGAGTGTGCGCCCATCCCATGACCCTGCCCGTGGGGATCCCAAGCTCCCTATCCCGAGCCCGGCACGGTGCATTGCGCCGTGCCGGACAGCTACACTGGCATATATATAGAGTTGACATGATCTTCACATACACGAGACCTAAGTGGAATATCCAAAGACTGATGTGATTGGCTGAGGCGGTCAAACCAGACAAAAAAGGGTCTGTTAAACCGTTATTAACTTAAATGGTATGTTTTAGACAACAATTCATACAAAAAAGCACGTAAGATTTAATGATATGAATTTACGTTAATTCTATTTTAAAAAAATCATATCTTGGCTTCGATGTACTTTACAGATATATGGCCATAATATTTTATTTTTAATTTTTTTAGTTCTATTCGTTAAAAAATAAAGCATTCGTGGCCGCAGACTTTGAAAATCAAGCCACTTTTACCCAAACCCCTTTATATAGAAATACATATTTAACATCCTTGACTGGAGTACAAATGCTCGTATTCATCACACAAACATCTACCCCCACCGGGATTCGAACCCAGGACCTGTCGAGTAGACGACACCATGAAAACCGGCGTACAAACCACTCGGCCACGGAAATCGTGATAAACATATAGTTTTCTGTGAGCGCTCGCGCAATAGATCTGCGACCGTGAATGCGGCCAAGGCGCGACCAGCCATTCTCGGTGTCATGCGGACAGTACGTGAGTGAACACATTTCGTATTATTCCGCAACTCAATACGACGATATTATTAATGAAAAGAAGAAACGACCAGCAATATGGCCAGTTTACAACCATTCGTGGTCGTGGCCGCAAACTTGGTCGCAGCCCAACCGTAGCTTCTGCGACCAAGGTTGCGGCCACGGCTACGACTGACCTAAAAACTCCAACTTTAAATGAGATACAGCCAATTTTTCGATCATGTCATCAACATCAGCTACCGGTCGACTACCCTTTTACTAAACATATTACAAGGTTCAAGGAAAGTGATCTCTCAAACGCTGTTCATACTGAATATCAATAATGTACTGTCATTACCGGTATATTAAGGTTTGCAGTGTTATGCGGATTACAATACGCGTGACCGGTATACCACGTACTGGAGTTGACATTTCAGTAATATGATGTCTGGTATAGATATACGACGGAGACTAGACGACCTAATTGGGTCGTATTTGAGTCTTCACAGCGAACGCGTTATAAAATATCTGGTGTGTCCAATAATACAATCATTTAGGTTCGGTCACCAGTTTCAATAAAAATACTCCTGTTAAAGACAGGGCAAATAAGCTTTGTTGCCTAGATATTCTTATTATTTAGTTTATAATTACAACTGATGCTAAGAAACGATTATTATTACCATGTACTGACGGTTGATTATTAAAACTAGCCGTTAGATAGCAAGGCCAAGAAAATTAGCGGCATGGCTGACATAAACATCAGGTTGCCCGTGGACTTTTCTGCATTCGAAAGTAAAAACTTATCCCTCCATCACCTTTTCTTCAGAGGACCTCCCGCGCTGCCATAGACTTACTGTGGCCACTATTCCTACACGAACAAATAAATTTGGTGGCTCATTTCTTTGTCGTTCATTCGTAAGTGGAATTCTTTGTCCGCGCACGTGTTTCCTCCTTCCTACAATCTGGGGTCCTTTAAGAGAGGCGTGAAGATGCATTTTTGCAGGCCGGCAAGGTGAGGATGGTTTGTGTGGCAGTTTACAACTGCTGTACCGGCTATCTTCGCGTTTGGACTTTATCACCACTTAACATCAGGTGGGGTAGAGTCATTAGCCTACCTGGCTATATAAAAAAAAACAGGTAAAACCTTTTCTAGTACATCAAAGGATTAGTGGGTGCTAACCACTGCTGAAACTGGTGCAGTCAAAGCCAATTCAGGACCAAATGTACCTTTTGAAGAACACAATAGCCCTTCTTTATACTCGTTAATGTTGCTTGGTCGCATCACTTCCGCAGTCACTGCTGTACCCTAAGCACTAACCAATATTGAATTCGTGTCGTTTGCGAGTCCGAAATGTCATTGTCAAATGTGTACCGATTTTTAGTTCTCGTTACGCCCTTTGTGGCGCTGCTGTTCAAGTTTCCATACAAAATTTGACAATGACATTTCGGACTCGTAAACTATTCGAATTCGACAGTGCTTTGTGCTAGAGGTACTGCATCCGCTGCTGAGTCCGTAATGAAAGAAAGCTATCGATAGCCATCTCTTCGCATTGTAGGTTACCCACAATGAATGATGATGATGCGAAGAGATGGCGCTTAAGAAAGGCTAGAAAGAATTCGACACGGCCGTCAGGGCCGCGGTAGCATAATTGGTCGCACTGACCAATAGCAATTCGCTCGGATAGCGAAGAATGCGGGTTCGAGTCCCGTATGCTGCCTGGTTCGCGTGATATTACTTATATTCCAATGTGCCCCTTATCACACTGTCAGGGGACAGTGTAATAAGTTTATCGGATTAACAAGTAGGGTCAAGTAGGGACTTGACCTTACTTGTTAATCCGATAAACTGTTAGTCAACAAACTGTATGACTACGAGTTACATTGTTAGTCTGAATAATAATGGTTTTAGTTAGGCTTTTGATGTTACTTTTGAACATGACGCATAATCAAATTGAAAAACTAGAAAACATCAGAATAAACATGTTCGCCCTGAAGGGGGAGGAGTACAAGATTTATCAAATAACAATATATCTCAACTCAGTATTCCAAATGGTGAAGAATTGCATTTGAATATATTAGTATTGAAAGCTACACTACATAGGGACTTTCCCCTATGTAGTGTAGCTTTCAATGCGAGTAACATTGTTAGTCTGAATAATAATGGTTTTAGTTAGGCTTTTGGTGTTAATTTTCTTATGAAAATAAGTAGAAAAGTATGGACAATCTTGGTTCTTAGACTTAGGGCCTGTGTTACAATCGCTGGGTTCTAAATAAGCTAATCTGCTCAGTTAAGAATAGGGATGTTGATTTTTTTTGGAAAAGCATTAAAAAGCAAGCGAAAGTACCCTATCAACGTGTAAGTCAACATCCCTATTTGTTTACTGAGCAGATGACTTCTAAGTAGATTATTGAAAACTTTACTCAGCGATTGTGGAACAGGCCCTATGCAATCTTTTTTTGAGTAAGGCCTTAAATAAAACCATTTAAGATATTTTACCCACTGTAGTCTAATTAATTAGCTAATGAGATAATGCAGAGAGTTCAGTCGATTTAATGTAATTTAGACCATTAATTTTAATTTTGCGATACTGACTGTATATGCTACTATTGTAAAATCTCATTTTTTTTATCAAAGTACTTAGTTTGGTGAATATTAACCAAGTTTCTACTATGGAAATGTTTCATATATTATAGGGGTACCTAATAGCTTAAGAACGATATTTTTTAATTAAAATAAGCAAACATTTAGTATTTTACAATGTATTTATTTTTATAAATGTTATTAATACAAACTTTTAACTCGTATCATATATATACCACTTTATAAACCACAATCGTTTGCATAACCAAGTGACAAGATAAATACAGGTATAATACAAATTCATGAACAAAAATGAACTGTAATAATTTGTAACATTAACTTAACATATAAGTTAATGTTACAAATTATTGAACAAAATATATCAGAATTTATGCACACTAAGTAGTTTGTTTATTATTTCCTTTTACTATTCATCAATGATTAACGATGGACCAATTTGCAAACAATTGGCCTTTCGAATTAATTAAGAAGAAGAAAGTATATTATATTTTTAAACATTTAAATAGTATATTTATGAAGCTAAAGATTATTTTCCTAGTAAAACATTTAGATAGAAAGATGCATATTAAATTATGTTAGCCAATAACAATGTTGAAGACTCCAAATTGTTACAAAAATTGTTATAAATGAACGAACAATAATTATTTGCTAACAAACTTATTCTTACCACTAACTCAGTAATCACTGCCGTTTTCATTCTTGCTTGACTAATGTATTCACTTCTTTGTTTAACAAATGAATGTCCAGTAGGTAGAGGGAAACCGTGAGACTTAAGGTGGGAGAGTTGACCAATCTCACAAAATGTGTCATATTTAAATTTAACGCAAACAAAACGTCAACTCATTTATCGGTCACATGCGGGGCGCCAATCAAAACAAAACTGTCGCATGTGACCAACAAACGAATTGGCGTTATTTTGCACTCAATTTAAATAATATTTTGAAAGATAGTTCAACTCTCCCACCTGGGCATGTCCTGGTTTCCTGTACATGATTGGCAAATAGTTACGACAAAAGATTATTTTTCCCAACACGAAACCAGTACAAATGGCATTCAAGAATATTTTGTGAAGCGTTCACACGTTTCGTACTGAAAACTAGAAAAGTCAAAACGTTTACAGACTAAATAATCTTATTTTGCAAGTAAATACTAAACCTCAAATGCCATGGCAACCGAAAGGAATTAGCAGACTATTTATTAGAAGATTCAAACTTTATCAGCAGCTCCGATTCACGATCAAAACGTACTTACATTTTGTACTTTCAAAAATAGTATAAGTATTTCTGAAACGATTTTTTTGTTAAAATACAAACTACTTAAAAAACATTACAAATACACCTAAATAAGGACAACGATTTTTCAATTGACTGATTTATGATTAATTTCATGCCCCATAAATATTCTTTTATATAAGTCGTTCTGGTGCTCTACAGCTCTTAGGATTTTTTGAACTACAACAAGTAACCTTTCATCTGCCATCACCGTAGTCAACTTCGACAACTGATGGGCGTCTTGTTCACAAGGTATACCTTCAAGGGAATAACCCGATGATGACCGCATATGAGCAATCGGTTTCATCTTTGAAAAACCGTTATTATAATCATTCAAAGCCGCAGCTAGCCAATCACAAGAGATATTGTTACCTTCTAAGTATACATTCAAATCAAAATGATGACCAAGCCAAATTTTGTAATCTAGAGTGTATAAACCGTTATATTTCAACGATAGCATTCTTAAAGATTTCAAATCAGTCATAACTCTGGAATCAAGATTGGTGATATTGTTATAAGACAAATCTAAATAACTTAGATGCTTCAGTTCTTGGAATGTACCGTATTCTATTTCCGTTAATTTATTGAATGCTAAACGCAAAGTCCTTAATTGTTCAATCCGTTTGAAAGTCCCAGGATGGATTTTTGCAATCGAATTGTTCGAGAGATCCAACGAAGATAATGTGACCGGCAGATTTAAAGAATTATTTTTCAGTTCCTGAATAATATTAACACTCATGTCCAATGTTTCCAACTTGTTTTGATAACATAAATAAATTAAAGCAGGATCTGCTATCATATTAGCTTTCAATACTAATATATTCAAATGCAATCCTTCACCATTTGGAATACTGAGTTGAGATATACTATTATTTGATAAATCTAGTACTCCCCCTTCAGGGTCGAACATTTTTATTCTGAAATGTTCTAGTTTTTCAATTTGATTATCGGTCATGTTCAAATATTTTAATTTATTGTTGTTTGTAAAAGTATGACCCGGAATGATTTCTAAGTCATTATGTGACAAATCCAAATTTTGTAAGTTATGCATAGATTGAAAACTGTCAAATTTTAAATTAGTAATGAAGTTACAGCTTAGATTCAGATATTTTACGTAAATCATGTCTCTAGGGTTAACATCAAAGTTTGTGATTTTATTATGAGATAAATCAAGCGACACAAGGCGAACGAGAGGTTGAAATGCATTGTAACTTATATTTGATATTGCATTATTAGATAAATCCAGCTCGGTGGTAACAGTAAATATATTATTGCCATATCCGGGGACAGATCTAACATATCTATCAAAAACTTCTTTAGACTTGACATTAGGAATAGCGATGATTTGATTGTCTGAAAGTAAAATTTTACACACAGAATTAGTGTCAAAATGCTTCCAATGCCTTACAAACACTACTTCTTTTAAATCCTCCAATTGATTTGATGATAAATCAAAAGTCTCCAATTCCTTAATTATATCTAATGATTGAGCATTAAAATTCTGTATTTGGTTGCCCCTTAAAAACAAATGTTTTAATGTGTGTAGTTCGTTTAAGGCACCATTTAGATCAGTTATTCTATTATTGTTGAGTTTCAAAATTCCCAATCTGGTTAAGTTTTGGAAAGGGTTATCACTCAAGTCGGAAATGCGGTTAAACGATAGATCCAATTCAGTTAGAGACGAGAGTCCGTTAAAAGAGACATTTGGAATTTTTTCAATTGCATTGTGTGCTAATACCAGAATTCTGAATCTACTTGGATATGTGTTGAATTGCAACAGATCCTTAATGTCAGTTAAATTGTTATGCGACAAATCCAAATGCTCTAAGTGACGTAACTGGGAAAAGGGGCTGCCGTAAATAATTTCCATCCGATTATTAACCAAGAATAAAACTCTAAGGTGTGGCATGTGTTCCAGCATAGACAAGTTGGTTTTGGGAAAAACTCCGGATACTCTGAATGTTGTCACGCTATAAAGAATCTCGCGGTCACGATTATTGATATCAAACATGTCTGATTTGGCATTGTTGAGAACCAGATCAATTATAACAGGATCGTTGGTTGAACCCAGGCAGTGGGGAGGAAGCGCCACGTCGCGTACGTCTGTTTTGCATTGAATATGGAATGAGCACTTCCCGAAGCTCCGTATCTTGTCCAGTGGGCAGTCGCAGAAAACGGGTGATATCATAGTCGTGACTATCAGAAATAGCAATCCTGCAAGGAGATACAAAAGAAACAATTAAATTTCTAAATTGAAAAACTTTCATTACATATTATGACAGATAGTGGCCTGAGCCTAGAGTTGCCAGTTGTTCGGGAATCGTCTGGATTGTCCCGAAATATTATGTGATCTCCAGACTCCCAAAAAATGCGTTCCAACCCAATCTTTATAAATAAAACTAGTTTTTACTTGTTAATGCACGAAACTTTATTTATTTATTGACGTTTACAATAAATAAGTAAAGTTTCGTGCATTAACCCGTAAAAACTAGTTTTATTTAATGAGTGATGTGCGTGAAAACCTAAGAAACCAATCTTTATATTTTAGACCTAACTACGTGAAATTCATGGTTTTAATAAAAGATTCAACAAGTTAAGAAAGTAATTGTCTTGTCGAAAGGTTATAAACTTAATTAATTAAATTTATGATTATTTTTTCCGATATTTTTGAAAACAATTAATAACTTAAATACATGATTCTTGTACTCACACCAAATATTCTCTCACAATTCTCACACAGTAAGAATTGTAGGTAAGGCATGAGATACTATGATAGCGGATAAAATTCAAATACTGAAACATACATATGTATATGCGTCTAGAAATATATACATCCATGACTTAAGTGCAAATGCTCGTATTCATCTTACAAACGTGATTCGCCCCACCGGTATTTTACCCTGGGACAAAATGAATTATATATAACAGAATTGTTGTATTATTAAAATTTGGCTATGAACCGATTCTATTTTTAGGTTCGTACAAAAACCGTGGCAACGAGACCCTATTGCACCACCTCCACTGTGCGTCCGTCCTATCCCATCCCATGAACCGCAACAGCCAAATACGAGTACTAATTACATATTTTTACACAGTGTATTTGTTAAGCCGCTATAATAAAAAAATGTATAAAAATAAAATAAGAAAACAATGTACTGACGTATTAAGATCCACCTCCTTTTTGATGACGATTAAAAATATAAAAACTGCAAAAAGAGCTTTATTTCAGCTTTCTTTTGCTTTACATAAAAAAATAGGTAACTACATTTTAAAGTGTCTACTTTGCCATCATGATTTTTGTTTCATTAATGTGTCAGATCTTCAGTGCTATTCTGTAAGACCAAACTCACTTGCCACCGTGAAATTTGCAGGTGTTATTTGAAATTTATTTAAAATTCGTATATAATCACACCACTAATTTTAAATCACTGAATAGCAGCAGTAGCTTGAACTTATCCGGTGTTATAAGATATATATACTGGATGAACAGCAAAATGATCTACGTTTAAAAATTTTAAATTCTCACCTTTCGCCATCATTTCACTATAAGCTGTTATTTTGCTCCGCCGTATAAACTGAAAACAAAATAGCCTTGAGAAAATAATGTTGACCAAATAAAAATAACTTTGAAGGTACTAAGTATTACTATTATTTATTTTGAAATATGATGAAATGCAGTAGGTATGACTGTTCATGACCACGAAGACAAACTCGTGGGTTTATTTACAACATGAATTCGACTGATTTAATTTTGTAGACAAGCAAATGAAATAGGCAAATGCTTTCATCTTTAGCTACAGTAATATAAATGAAGTTAAGTTTCTCTTACTTTAACTAGCCAAAGGATAGATTCAGAACCCTATTGTTGTCAATCTGTCGTCTGTCTGTCTGTCTTTCCGTGTGTCAAGGGTCTCTAGATCGTAAAGGGAATGAGTTATGGTAATGATGAAATTATGGTATTCTATGTTGAATGCTCAACAAAATTTAGTTAAAAAATATTATGGAAAGACAGACAGACAGACGACAGACTGTCAGTCTGTCGTCTGTCTGTCTGTCTTTCCATGTGTCAAGGGTCCCTTGATCGTAAACGGAATGAGTTATAGAACTGAAATATTGGTATTTTATGTGAAATGCTAATGTTGAATGCTCAACGCCGAATATTAAATTAAAAATTAATTTAATTTGGTCTCTTATTAGATTTTTTTCTTTTATACACAAGCATGTAACACTGGCACATCATTGTGTAGAGCTCGTTGAGAAATTATATTCATATCTTAAATGAATATAATTTCAATTACTTTCAATAACAAAGAAAAATGGTAGCCCGTCCAATTTGTAAACTCTAGACCATTTTTGTTACGCAGTCTAAAAATCAAAACTAGCTAAAAATAGGAAATTATAGTATATGATGTCCCATATGCTGTATATAAACAACAAATACTGAAAACGCCGGTTCATAATGTACTTTGTAAGTTGTGATGAAAACAAACAAATGATTATAGGGACCATAATAGACCGAGGCCGGACTCGCACTTGGCCAGTTCTTTTATTAATTCACAAAGAAGACACATTCAAGGGCGGATCCAGGGGGTGGGTCATGGGGGTCATGACATGGGGGGGGGGGGCTCTGGGCTAGGTACATCTGTACCCGCTTCACAATATGTACCCACTGTGGCCACGACTATATTTTTATGGCGCTACTTCTCATTTACAATGAGTAATGATATTTTTTGTGAAAAAAAACTTTGATCCTCGTTTCTGTGAAATTATTAAAGTGGCGTTTAAGCGAATCTTCTTTGCCACTGTCAATTTAAATGATAAATACGACTTTTCCATATAAATTGGTGTAATATTTATACATGATAAGTTAAGCGTAAATAATATTAATTTTTAAAGTGAAACTTATTACATCTACTCGACTTTTTTCTTCATCTTTAGCATGTCGCTAATCGTTAATTCACATCTTTAATTGTAATAAAAAGAAATCAGACCTTATCAACAAGCATCCGTAGCTCAGTGGCAGAAATTAGGGCGACCCGGGTTTGGCTCCGAGAGAACTTCAGAGGAGGAAGAACTTTTTTTTATTAATGACCTCAAAACTTTCACTTCCATGATGGTTACATAAAACCACACCATTTTTTATAATTATAAAAATACAAACTTCACATCACTGAAATATTTATTGTGGGTGTATTTTCTAGTAAGATAATAATAGGACTTATAAAATTGTCGTTCTGGCTATGTCAAGTCAATTTTGTTTCTTTTTTTGCTAAGAATTCTATATGAATTATTTGCACTCACCTGAACATAACAATATTTCTACACGAACACTAGCAATGAATGCACCGGTCGACTGAGCTCAAAGTTCAAACGAGATACTGATACAAAATTCAACGCAGGCATTTCGCTGACCAAAAGAAATCAGAATACTGTCACCCTATCCTCGGTCAAAGATTATAATCTTATTATAATACCAAGTACAGCGGTGCTTTTACGTTCAAAGTGTGGAAAACAAGCATTTGACCCGCCTGATGGTAAGCGACCACCATAGCATAAAAGCGCTTGCGATACAAAAAATATCAATCGCGCCTTTGCTCACCCTTTTTTTTAACGGGGAGAATACGTTTGAGGACCGTCCCCGCCCACTGGGCTAGCGAGCGGGGGTGTGTGGGACTCTCCCGACTAAAGAGATAGCCGGGAATACTCCACTAAACTCCCCGGGAACTTCGCCTCGCCTTCAAGCATGCGCAGGGCGCTGACTCGTGTAGGCCTACCCCGCGGTGCCCGCAGACCCCGTTGCCTACCCTGACCCAAACCTCTATCCCGTGGAGCCCTAGATCCTTACTCACACAGAAACACACAAAAGGTATTGTTATTTTCCTGTAGTCTTCCGTAAGGTCACTTCCCAGACGGACGCTCCAATTCGAGCGGAAATCTGCTATGCCCTACCACTCTTGCTGATTCATAAGCTTTTACAATGTTACTGTACGTGTATTACAAGCATAATACTTTTTATTAATTATATTATTGATATTAATTTTAAACTCAGATGAAATTAATATCAACTATCTATTTAAATTATTATTGGCTATTTCTCCCGCATAAGCCTTGCCATTCAGCGGGGAAATGCCGCTAGCATCCTGGGAACCTTTGCCGATGGGGAAGATTTAGGGCAGCTATTTTTTGTATCATAACATAGTTTGAATTTTTGTCTAGTTTTAGTGAAGTTTTAGCTGAATATTTAAATGTAAATATTTATTATTCAAATTATTAAATACGAGCTAGTCCTTAAGTTTTTTCAGGTTATTGGATTCTAACTCAGCGACATGTAGGTATGTCACGGACTGCGGTCCCTTTGATGCATGTCGGCCGAAGGAGTGGAGTATTGACTGGTTTTTACCGTTACAGTAGGGCCCTACTCGTTTCATCGAGACACCAGGCTGGGTGAAGAAGTCTGGAGGAGTCCTGGATACCCCTGGTGCGCAAGGCATTTTCCCGTCATTAAAAAAAGTTTAATAGGGCCAAAAAGCTTGATGGTTTGATATAATTAAATGCTGACTTGAAGACATACCCAACTAGCACACTAGTGGAAATAGCAGCCTATTTTGCAACTTTTAGCTGTACAGTAGCGCTTTAGGAGTTCATGAAGTGGTTTTAAGTTCTAATGTTGCTTCCGTAACTGCTCATAGCTGTAAATATCACTGGGGGTAGCAAAAACTAAACCAAATGCCACTCTAGTCTTTATAAGAGTTCATTTTACAACCTATTTGCCGTCTATAGATTTAAAAGTTAAAACATGTATGTTAAAGCTTAAAGCTGCTAAAAAGCTTCTATTGCCGCTGCTGTACGCTTCAGAACCGCACAAAGACTTTAATTGCAGACTTTTTAACAGAACTGTAAAAATGATATATTTATCACTGTTCTGCCACTGAAAGTTTTATTGCAGAAGTGATTTGTACTTTTGCGCAGACTTAAGTAGCAATTTGATCGACTGTTTTACTAATAGCGACATTAAGGATTTACAATAGAAGCAGAAGCATAATGGATATTGCCTACTTATTTCGATAGATTCTGCTATTTTTATTGGAGAAATCACATTTTATAAAATATTTTATTATAAGGAATATGATTCTGAAGGCATGGAAGTTCTTTAATTTTTAAAAAGATTCATTGGAAACAAACAAAAATAATGCGCCAAGTTCGAGTTCAACAAACACAAGCGAAGGTCCCGTAGAATTTGTTTTCTCAATTAGTGATAACGGACCAGTTACAGAGGAAAAGTAAGTTGTATCTTGGTCTGGCATATTAAAAAAAATAAGTAAAATAACTTTATTTGTGTAATTTTCTGTTTATTTCTTCTAGATGTAACCATGTGGACTCGGACAGCGAGTTTATTTTAGTCCAGTTTGGTTGTGGAGTTGAATCTTCTATTTTACATATTTTTTTACATTTTTGTTCGGCCAGTGTAACACTCCAGGTTTTTCCCACGTAGATGGACAGATGCAAAGTTTTTGTTTATTTTGTTGTTCATTATAAGTTTGTATTATTTTTGTAGGCATTCTGAAAACATGGTAAGACATAGTTAGTGTTAACAGAGCGAAAAATATAGAAGCATCTACATACGATCATCGTATTTTAGGGTTTTCAAGAAGTTCTACGGATCTCTAAACAAATTACCATTAGTTGGTTCGATACCTGCAGTAAGTGCGAAATAAAAGTGCTTATAAAGACTTGAACTGCATTAGTGGTACAGGTATTACTTGGACCTTCAGAAGAGTGAAACTTAACGCTTTGACGTCCAGAGAGGAAGTATTAAGGTTGAAGTTGCAAGTTAAAGCTGCTTCTCATAGGCGCCATGTTTACAAGACAATCATTTCTCATTACTTGAGAAATTTATAGATTTTTATCACAATTTGTAGTAAAATATGACTAAATATAGAACCAGCAACTTACTAAATACAAAATGTAATTTCAATATTGTGTAGGTATGTGATATAATATTATTTATATAATAACATTTTACGATATTCTGAAGTAATTATTCAGGCGCGTTAAAAATACTCCAATAATATCGACCATATGCACGATAAACTGATCCGCGTTTTTAGCCACTTGCATATAATACAAAATATAGCTCAAAAACACTTACCTTCATTTCACTTATTATTTATTTGTATTCAGTAATGTCTGACACAGGAACATCAGATGTATTTAATAAATGAGAGACAAGGTGAATGATCAGTGATCCTTTATTCGTTCAGTTAAACCTGTCATTCATTCAATACGCGCCACAAAAACTTTAGTGTGCTTTTATGCCACTACTATGAAGTTCTAATGGAACTGTAGGTTGCAAAAAGTTGTGCCCCTTTGGCTGCAAAGCGGATGCATAAGGTCTGCAGTGCTCGCTCTGGCGCTTGAGCTTGGCGCCTTTGGGAATAATCAAATTAGCTCCAAAGCTCTTAAGCAACTAGTTTGTGCTAGTTGGGATAAGACAGGGAATAAACTAATGGATTCAGCGCGACGCAAAAAACAGTAATAAAAGTACTTAGGAATTCAATACTAGCACTTCACAAGCCTATTCATATTTCCATTTAAAAATTATTACAGTGCATACTTTAGTATTACAACGTATGTATTCTTACCATGCATTGCCCACCCTATAATATTATACTCATCTCAATCTAATTTTATAAATGTGAAAGTTTGTATGTTTGTTACTCAAAATTGGCTGAATGGATTTCAATTGAATGTGGCACACATATAATTTATCACCTGAATTAATGCAAGATTTTTATCCCTTAAAAATGTTAGGTTCCCGAAAAAACTAAAGAGAACGCGGACGAAGTCGCGGGTGGCCGCTAGTAACTAGAAATAAAAAGGAGATACTGAATTAAATATTGCAAAAAAATAAATAATATATCATCAAGGAAAGCGCCAGCAAAAAATAAGTACAAAATGAAAATTGTAAAAAAACAACTAATTGTCTTTACAAATGATTGACGATTCTGCAGTCAACTTGCTTGATCTATGCAACAATACAGCGAATCGAGTGTAGTTGCTCTATAATTCAATTTGTTTTTAGTTGTTGTCCATTTCTAAAAAGCAAAGCTTAGGTTATCTACATATGTTTTTTACTTCGGATGATTAGAGGAAAAAAATATTTTACATGATTTTATAGAGATGGCTTGACTTCATGATGACCCGTTGGTGACGCAAATGTCCTGCCTGCTACAGTGCGACCAAGATTTTGCTGCGCGTGGTTGAATACGGAACTTATTTTTGGAAGGTATAGAATAAAATAATTCTTTATTGCAAAACTGTTACATTTAGTGATACTGCTAGATGTTAGTGCACACAATTAAAATAAAAAGTTACCCTAATCGGGCATGCAAGTCATTTTTACAAAACATTATTATTAAAATATTCATTTAGATTATAAAATGCATTATATAATAGCCATTGCTTCAGGGTCCTCACAAACTTATATTCAGGAAGTGACCGCAGATAAGGCGGTAAATTGTTGCATATTCGTATGGCAGACATATAAGTACTTTTTTCAAAAATTGCTGAATTTGACCGAGGTAAATGTAATTTGTCTTCACGTCTCATCGGGGTTATTCTAGCTCTCTTGTCAGAGATCTTTGGGAATTCAGACATATGAGATCTTAAAAAATTACACATTTCTAATATATAAATACAGGTCAATGTTAAAATTTGTTTTTCTTTAAAAAAATATTCTATAAATAAGCCTTTCATATTTCCTTTTACTCTTTCCGAGTTATAGTAAGTTATAAAGTTCCGTTTAGTGAGGAGATTTAACTTAATATTATTCACCAGAAGCGCCCTCCCGTCAGTATCATCAAAGTGCTACAACATCTTGGTCGCACTGTACTTCAAAAGCCCTTCGTTCGAATAAATAAATATATAAATAAATATTTCCAACACTCACACCAATTAGCCTAGCCCCAAAGTAAGCACTGTAAGGCTTGTGTCATGGGATCCTAGGGTAACGGATAGAATACATATGCAGTACATAGATAAGTATATTTATATAGAAATACATATTAAACATCCATGACTGGAGTACAAATGCTCGTATTCATCACACAAGCATCTGCCCGCACCGGGATTCGTTCCTGGGACCTCTCGACACCATGAAACCTGGAGTACAAACCACTCGGTCACGGAGGTCGTCTTGTCGAATCTCGGTAAGGTTGCCTATTTGTTGGTTAGAAAAAATTGAGCACAGGTTTTGGTTGTCAATTTTATTATAAGATACGTTTTTCTTTATTTCAAATAGCGAACGTATCCTAGCATCTCGCAAGTCTCAGGGCTAGCCAGGCGCAATAATGGATTCCGCTGTCACCCTCTTCAGAATGGAAAGAAAGAAATTAATTTTAAAAGTCTCTAATGTTCAATATATCGTACTGCCTCCTAAGTATATACCATATCTATAAACTCCATATTATAAGCATTTAACTGCTAGATGTTTAATTTTAAAGAAAAGTTTTACTAGAAAAAATATATTATATGCTGAATACGGAATGCGACGGGGAGAATGAAATTAAGTTCTGTTTTGTCCGTCAGTTAAATTATCAAAAGATCAGAGTTCCTTGCCGGGTATCCCTACTAGTGGACGTATGGATCAGGTTGGTTCTTCTCAGTACAAGGTCTCCCGCCATAGATTTGCGAACCGATGGCGTAGCTTTTCAACATTCGCAATTGCTTGTAACAACCTAGACTGCATAAACGATATTGAATTTGACTTTAATAAACCCTTAATTTTTTTTGTCAATCAACCAAAAAATTTGGAAGTAGAGGCTAGTGACGTCACTTCTAAGTAAAATGATCTGATGATGAATGAATGATGAATCAAGTGTAGTGTTTAGATTATGTGAATAAAAATAAAGTCGTGTGGAAAACACATTTTGATAATCTGACAGACAAAGAAAAAAAAGTTAGTCATGATGTCTTTTATCCACGCAACAATCCGATTCAGCACACAGATTAAGAGATTAGAGTTTAAAGTAAATTAGACTCTAACAGCCGTTCCCAGAAAGGTCTAACTAAGTTAATGCTTCATTAATTGGTTTTTTGTTATTATTTTAGTTTTTACTCTTTTTAATAATATCTATTGGTTTCCCAAAAAGAATAAATAATTTGAGTCGCTTGTTGATTCATTCTATTGCTATCGCAAAGAATGTGACATCATCAGCTTAAAAAGTTAATTGACTCCTCTAAGTGCAAATGTAAGTTAGTCTCAATATCGCACGCTGAATATTGCGTAATTTTATACCAGCCTTATCATCAAATAAAACATTGTATAATGAGATAAAGTATTTTATTTTATTATCATTCTTTCGGTCTCAGCACAGTCATATCGCCGAAGTCTTCGAACTCAGGGTAAGCGTCTGAGTAGTCTACGGGGAACATGGCGGCGCACTCGTCCTTGCCGTGCGACGAGTCGCGGCTCACGTGCTCCGGCCTCAAGTCCATGAGCTCGAGCAGGGGGAGGTCCACCTTCACGGATAGCATGAAGGCCAGCCTGACTTCTTCCCTAGATAGAAAACAAAAGACGACCGCGAACTAGACATATATCATAAGACTAGCAAACCAGTGAACCAAATGTTCACCAATTAAAAAAAAAATGTATTTAATTAATTGAGAACTTCGGAGATTTTGTATGGTTTCGTTTGAAATTCGTGATTTCTCGAAAACCGGAAGTGCTACGTTACTCAAATCCGGTTTGTAGTCTTATCAGACTATTCTTAACTTATAACTTAAACATTCTCTTTATCTATCTCTTACGGTTTGGCCGCTGAAACAGCACCACAGACAGACGGACGGACGGACGGACTTGTCTAATAGATAAGAGATATTCTACATCGTGGCGTATCCTGCAAAAAATTACGATTGACGTCACGTTCTCCGGCTTCAAGTCCCGAGCTCCTTTCCTATCTATATGAATAGGAAACAAAAGTGGATCGTATCTCAGTAGCCTTCCTTTCCTGGACTGGTAACAAAACACGATCCCGCACTAGCCTTTTATGATAGCGGGCTCAGTAAGACCTAGAACTCCAACGTGACTGCCTCCCAATATAAAAAACAAAACGTGATCGTACACTAGCCCTAAATATAATAGTGGACACAATTGTATTCACCGATAAAAGTATTGAAAGTTGTAGAACCCGGCAACTGCAATATCACTTGGCCCAGTTTCGAATTTAAGCCATCCAAGGACCTCATTGAAATCGGTGCAGTGGTTAAGGCGTTAGGAGTAGTCGGCAAGAAATACTGTTAGATTTATAAAATGCAAAGAATTTTACTGCAAAAGGCGCTGAAACCTTAGCAAAATTGACATTTTTATTCTACAAAAAGCATTTAACCTAGGTTTCAGCGCCTTTTGCTGTCTTGTGCTACTAACTCGCTACACTACCAATACGTGTCAAATATTTTTCTCTCATCTATTATTACAAGATCTAGACACCGCCAGACCTTATTTAGCTTCCTCACTCTATGGTGTCAATTCTAACATGATTCTCTAAACCTAAACTTATATTTGACAACAATGTATCCTTGTCATTCTCTATACGGAATGAAAAGGATAGATTAATGTTAAAGGACATTGCTCGTTTCCCATACATTGAATGCCCTAGAACGAGCCCAGCAATGAGAAAATGCTAGTTGTGTTCGGAATCATTCATAAACTCTAAATAAGCATTTGTTGAGATACGGACAACTTGAGGAACCGTGGCCTACTACAGAATATATTCGATTTTGAGGTTATAATTATTATACTTAATCGTAAAAGATGTACACTTTATATATTCTGAATAAATTTAGTGTTTAAATAATATGCATTAAATGAACATAAAATGCAATTAATAAAAAAATAATAAATGCTTATATTCATATTGATTTATGAGTGTTGTCAGTTGGCACCTATGATACCTATACCTACCTGTAGTAGGTAATGATAGATTTCTTTTCAAATGAAATGTTCAATCTTTCCATTTACCTGTTTCTATATTTTACCATCGGTAATTAGGTATGTACCTGGTTATCATTATGATTTTCATAAAAATAAACAGATATTACATGGGATGGGAGTATAAACTATCTTTAGATAATTTCAGAAATAATCTTTTTACAAATATAATATAAATACTAGTAATAAGTATTATTAACTAAGGTACCTAGTTCTATTTTTATGTTGATAAATACCAATGGTCGCCTATATTGCATTACTAAGGTAAACAATCTTGGCACAACTTTTTAACAGAATCACCCATTTAATAATAAAATATTAATGAAGCCAATAAACTATTAAAATAAATCGTTATTATAGACTGAAACCTATTGAATCCAGTTATCAGTTGATTTTTAATGCTGTATTTTCAATAAAAAGGAGTGCCAAGTTGAATGAACAGACTGTAGTATCTAGTAGTAACAGAACTTTTATTTTTTTAAACAGATTGTCCGTTTACTTTGATGAATTGCTAATAAGTTAAAAAAATAATAGAAAAATAATAGTGAAGGACATTCTTTTGGGCATGCTAGGGCCGATTTCGTCGATGTCCTTTAGTTTTAAGATTAGATAATCACGCCAGAATCGACACCTATATCACTTCTTCACGTTGCAGGCAACTACAAAACTAGTTAACGCTTATCGTACGCGGATCCTTTACAGTCTGTTCACAAATAATACAGTCTTACTAAAAGTAAACCTTCATCATTCACAGCTTATCTTACTCCACGGCTGGACATAGGCCTCTCTAATTGTACGCCATCTTGGGCTACTCGCATCCAGCTCCTGTCAGCCACATTACCCAAATCGTGACTCCACCACCGTGCCTAAGGACGTGCCTAGACGCGGTCTCAACTCCAGAACTCGTCTACCCCAACGGTTATTGTTTCTGCAGCAAATATGGCCAGCCCACTGCCACTTCATCTTGCTAATCCGGTGGGATATGTCGATAACACTGGTTCTCTGTCGGATCACCTTATTTCTGATGCGACCATTCAGTAAAGTAAACCTTAAGCTTTAAAATATCATCGTATACTTACTCGTCGGGTACGTTTAAGTGATCATATTGCCGTACACTATATGCAATATGAACTGCTTTGTAAGGTGTCGGTGCTCTGAATATACCCATCTGTAATAAAATCCTCTTACTACTATTATCATCATCGATAACTGTTTCTACCTCTTAATAATAATAATATAATTACTAGGACTGGGAATTATGTTACGTTATTTCAACTTTTAGTGCGTGTGTAAGCTAAAATTTCTATGCTTTTATGTATTAAATGGTATTAAAGTAAAAATTCTAAATTAGCACAATATAAATAGGTGAAGAGGAGCTCGATGGCGCAGGTGGTTAGCGCGTTCGGCTACAATCGTTGAAGTTAAGCAACTTTCGCAATGGTCGGTCAATGTATGGGTGACCAAAAATCTTCTATCTCGAGTTCCTCCGTGCTTTGGAAAGCACGTTAAGCCGTGAGTCCCGGCTGCATCTGCAGTATTAGCAGTCGCAAATCCGCACTAGGCCAGCGTGATGGGACATGGCCCAATCTCCCTATTCCATCCATAGGGAAGGGTTATGCATGCCCCAGCAGGAGAAACATTAATAAGCTGATGATGATGATGATGAAATAGGTGAAACTGTATCTAGAGTCAATGTAGAGTAGATTACGCTTTTTGGCGTAATATTATATAATCAAATGGAAATATACGGAGGCCATGGCCCATGGCGAAGCGATTACCGCACGCAGTCTGCAATCGTGCAAGTAAAACAACTTTCGCAAGGGCCGGTCATGATCTGGAGCTTCATGTCTTAAGAAGACATGTTAAGCCGTTGGTTCCTACTGCCTCTGCAGTCGTTAGCCCACTAATCTGCTTGGGCCCACGTGATGGATCATGGCCCTTTCGCCCTATTCCATCCATAGGTAAGGCCTGTGCCGCAGCAGTGAGGGCATTAATAGGCTGATGATGATTTTACTAACATGAATTATGGAAGATTTATATTTCCGTAGGATGTCGATCGCCATGTACCGCTGGTGTATACCAAGCAACACTAAAACGTGAGGGGGCAGGAACTCCTCTTGAGGGGTCACGCATTCCAACACCAACTGATAGACAAGAACATAAATGACACACACTTCTCTACGATATATTGTTCAATCTTATCCCCGCGCTATCACGTAACACACCCAGTGTCGCGTGATAGCCTACAAAATAAAGCCACATTATTTTAACTGATTAGCTTTAACAATATAACCTTAGAGGTAATGAATGTAACATGTAACCAACCTTAGGGAATAATATTGCTAAACCGTTGACTTTAGCTATGTCATTTGGTGGCGCATAAAAGCCTGGTATCAAAAGTCCTGGTGGTGGAAAGTACTCGTTCTCGTCTTCCTCTTCGCTTTTCTCTTCTTCGGTGTGTTCTTCCGGAAGTTCCTTAAGTGGAATAATCATATCTTTTAAAAGACATAGGTATGGAATTTGCCGACTTTTTCAAATTTTCTGGTAAACATTTTCTTTGGTTAAAACAAAATTATCATGGCATTGTAAACTGGTAGTAGGTAGATTTGCACTAGTATATATTGCATTTTATGTGTGATGTTTCGAGTCTTATAAAATAATTATTAATGAACTAATTATAAAAATATATACATATTTCAGTAGTTCAATGATGGTAGATTAGTTTTATGAAAGTTTTTGATAGTAATTCTATTTAATTCAATATCAAAATACGAGGTAAACCTGCATTGTTTTTGGGAAAACTCATGGTGGTTAGATGTTTTTTTTTTTGATAATTAATGAGTTGCAAAATCAAAATTCTAATACATTATGTTACAACAAAAACATATTTCTGATATCGTAGTAATTAATTTAATCTAATTTATTTAACATTATTTAGAGAATTAGGCGTTTGAAGTTGTGCATATTATCGTTTTTTCCGTAAACTAGCTGCGGTAGAACGATCATTACAAAAAAAAGAAAATAGTATTTGCAAATATTCTACATTAACTTACAATAGAAAGAATGACTCTACTGTTTACTTCTATTGGAAATGGTCAAAAAAAAATTAAGGGGGTAAACGAGGCGCTCAAAATTTACGATTTTTTGCAAAAAATGTGAATGGGCTCTTAAGGGGCACATCAACGAATGGACCTCACACCTAGCCTCTCGCAAGTCTCACGGGTGCGAAACGGAAAAGCCGTTAAGCAGTCCGCGCTGCTTACGAGCGCTTGCGGCATACTATCCGCAAAATAACCCTGCGAATACCCTCTACGCATTTAAGTGTGGAACCGCGAGATCCCCGTTAAGGGACTTCACCGCGTGTATCCAAAAACACCTAAAGATGGCTTGATCTGTCTACAAAGATAAACTCTAATACATATATTTTAAGTTTATATTTACAATAGGGATGATGACTATTTTTTTTTTTTCGTTTATCAGGTAGATTATCAAAAAGTATTGGACACGTATTTTTTCTTTATTCGCATAATATAAACATTGCAGAGACATGTTGATTTGAAAAGTCGCATGTCGTCACGTTTTGGTACAATTTTCACTTAAAAGTGACGACACGAGCCCCTACTCCCAAACTTTGACGCGCTATAACTTTGTCATTTTTTGGTTGATTGCCCAAAGAAAAAATACCTGTCTATTATTTTTTGATCATCTAACCGACGGACTAAATAGAATTTCGTTTACTGTACCCCGTTATCACCCCTTTTATCTTTTACATAAAATTTTAGGATTCATTTTGACGTGACAACGTCTTAAATTAGGTTGCGGCTGGGAGTCACTTATGAAAAAGTGTAACGCTCGGTAACGTTACGATGAGTCTCTCGTGTTAAGTTTAAGTTTACATGTACAATGTTTTAGTAAACAAAATATATTTCTATAGTTAAAATTTGTGCAATTCTTATTTTCATTCAATTCCTTGTTCCTATTGTGCAATTTAATTATATTCATATCAATAAATATTCTACCGAGAAAAAGACGTTGTCACGTAAAATCTTCGCCCGTAAAACCGACTTTACAGGCAACCATTTTTTTTAGGAATAGCATAGTTTAGTGTTCTCGTACATTGTTAGTTTAAGGTAGGAGATACTTTTTTTTATAATTAAGAGTACGCAAATATTCTTTACGGTGGTGAGATTGTAGAATATGTACAGTGTTCGGTTCTGTTAAAACTGTTTAAAGTGCCGAATTACTTAAACTATTCGTGTTACAAAATTGTATTAAACTAACTGTCGGAACAACGATGTCCACTGCTTCGTCTTCATCTGTAATCTCATCCAAAGCTGCTAAATTCTGAAAATATTTAGATATATTTTTGTACAAAAAAGAGTCAAGCAAAAGTTTAAAAAAAACGACGGGTTGCACTCCGAGAGTGCCGGCAGAAGTGAAAACTTGAATATTAACGTTGTGCATGTTTGATATTTTGGATGGTTAGGGAATAATTTTGCACGAATTGCTTTAATTATCAGTATAAAAGTACTATCATTTATGTGGTAGAATACAATATTTATGAATTGCGCTATCGTACACAAACATGACAATTTATATCATATTAAAAAGTTTAACTCTCAGAAAAATCAACTTACATGAATCACATTTAAGCGCTCCTAGCGACATCTATTGTAAAAGACATGCATTTTCTTCCCAATAAAGCTGCCACTTGGACGTCCTAGTAGAGACTTATTATTATAATACGTTAAAATATTACTATGTTTCGTCCAATATATTGAAAGTCAACAACCTTTCCAATTTTATTGTTTTCGTCTGACGCCACGTGTCCTGACGTGAGTTTAACATTTTTTACCCATTACAAAAAAAGTGTACAACGCCGCTAAAGAAGTTTTCACTTCAAAAATCTCATACTGTATTTTCTAAATCATGATTTAAAAAATCCTATTAATCAACCAACTCACTGGGCAATACATTAAAAGTCAATTTACTATACTTCATACTAACGCCAGATTTCAGTAATTGCATTTTCCTTTGTTCCTTCTCAATCCTTTTGGCTTGTATCGCTTCCTCGATGGCTTGCCGCGCCAACCTTTGCATTTCGCTTAGACGTCTAGCGCGTTTTTCCTGTTCTTCTTCCTTAACATTCAATAAATAATATTGACACGTATTGTTTCATCATCAGCCTATTAATGTCCCCACTGCTGGGGCACAGGCCTTTCCTTTGGATGGAATAGGGGATTAGGCCATGACCCACCACGCGGGCCCAGTGCGGATTGGCGGGTGCTAACAACTGCAGATGCAGCCGGGACCAACGGCTTAACGTGCCTTCCGAAGCACGGAGGAAATCGAGATAGAAGATTTTTTGGTCACCCACCCAATGACCGACCACTGCGAAAGTTGCTTAACTTCAACGATCGCAGCCGAACGCGCTTACCACCAGCGCCATCGAGCTCCTCAATTGTTTACCATTGTTGTGTATTGTAATTGGTGTACATGTATTGTTTACTATAATATAATGTTTATAATGGGTACCACGACTTCGTTTGCGTGCTAAAATTGGATTCCCATACAAACTGCCCCTTTTTCACTCCCTTAAAGAGTGAATTCTACGATAAAAAATACTATCCTATGTCCTATGGGACTCAAATTATTTCTTTACCTATTCAGGGCCGTAGCTAGGGAGGGGGCATTATGGGGCAATTCCCTACCTTAAAATACCATTGCCTTAATGCGTCATGCTCGTGAACAGGTGCTGCCATCAGGGATGAGTCTGGACTATACTGCGTTACTACTGAGATATAATCTATTAGACCTAATATTGAATGATTAATGTCTAATAGAACATTGTTTGTGTTTATACTGTATGACACAGCAATTTACATGTGAGTGGACGTTGTATGTATTGTTAGAGACATAATTTTGTAAATGTTGCTACTTCTGTTAAATGCTGGTGAGTTTTCTGCGCTCAATCTTCTCATCAGCTGAAAGATATCCTGAATGGGTGGTAAGAAAAAAATTTGGACAATTTAAAAGAGCTGACAATAAGTCATTTTGAATAAATTATAGCTTCATTCAATTAAAACGGGGCTGCAAGCTGCGGAGGGCGGGACACCTGTCTGTTTATACCTTAAATTATCATCATCCTACCTTAAACACAACTCTGACTACGGCCCTGCACGAATTTCATCTAAATCGGTTTAGCGGTTTAAGTGTGAGGTAACAGACAGACAGTTTCGCATTAAATAACATAATTATGGATTACAGAGCGCAAAAAAATTGTCCACTTTGAAAGTAGTAGACGCATCAAGACCTTGGGTTGTAAGTGAAGTTTTATTTTATATCGCTATATCTTACTTATCTATAGGTATAAAAAGTGCGCACCGCGTCACGTCTCGCCGCTGTGTTTACTGACCGTTATCATAATTGTATTTAAATGACTGCCTTATTATGTGCGTTTAAATGAGCTCCCATTCATCATCATCATCATCAGCCTATTAATGTCCCCACTGCTGGGGCACAGGCCTTCCCTATGGATGGAATATGGAGTTTGGGTCATGACTCACCACGCGGGCCCAGTGCGGATTGGTGGGTGCTAACGACTGCAGATGCAGCCGGGAATAATGGCTTAACGTGCCTTCCGAAGCACGGAGGAATTCGAGATAGTAAATTTTTGGTCGGGTGAATGGGTATTCAATGACCGACCACTGCGAAAGTTGCTTAACTTCAACGATCGCAGCCGAACGCGCTAACCACTTGCGCCATCGAGCTCCCATTAAAGAAAACCTAGTTCTTGGAGAGAAGGCAAAAAAGGGGAAGAATTCTTTTAATAATAAGATTAAACACTTCTTTATATTGCTTTAAATCAGTGGTTTTTAACCTAACAAATGTCAAATATCTTATACTGGCTGCTCCTACAGACAAGAGACATTTTGCCGTGTGCATATCAAACTGATGTCTAAATTGCAGCTACCGAAATCGGAACTGAGATAATATTTTACAGAATCGCCCTATAGGTGCTTTACGTGACCACCGTTTTTTATCTTTATTTATTTAGAGGCTTTCATTCTACGAATATGCCAGCCTCATCGTACCCTAACCAAAACAAACACAACTAATTTAATCTAAAACATTGGAGAGGGCGAGCTATTCTTACTAGCGAAAACCATATCAAACATCGACTTTGCTGCATCTGAGTTTGGTAGTGCTAATATTTCCACAAACGAATCTATAATTACAAAATTAAGTTGATGTTGTTGTATGAATAGCTCTTTCTCTCTTCTGTTCTTCACACATTCCATCAAAATGTGTTGGACATCGTCCACTTTGTACATACTTCACAATGAGGGCTATCGCGTATGAATCCGCCGCTAGAGGCGCTTGTGTAGCGTGAGGTCTCCGAAATGTCAAATGTTATTGGTTGTGGGTTGACTACGCGGGTTTATTTCTAATTAAAATAATGTTGTGAATATTTAGTAATAACTCGGCTTAATTATAGCAAATATGAGTTACGTGGCATTGAATGTCAGTTATTTAAAAGCGCAGCTAAGAAAAATAATTATGTCCTCCTTTTTGCCGTACAAAACGGAGCTGCGCAACACTGTGGTATGGCCAATTATGTTTAGAATACGGTTCTTTTGTATTAAAATATGATTTAAATGTATACTTTGATTTCACGCGCGTATTAATAAACATTAAAAGTTACAATTCAGGACCTCACTCAACAGTGGCGCCATCTGGTGAGACAAAAAACGGTAGCCCTCATTGGGAGAATTAGCTTTCTTCATCAAATGTGCAAACTTCCTAGATGGATAATGACCTGATCGTAATTTGTGAGCGAGGACGACATATGACCTATTTAATTTGGTTTCTATGAACCATGGAATCCGAAGAGGCTGACACTGTATTGTCTTATACCATATACCTTTTTGTTTACTTCTTTCGTAAAAATATTCCTTAATTTTTTTATAACATAAAAACCACTGTTTTAAATGATTAGGTATTTTTTACCTTACGCCGCATTTTTTCCATCATTCGCTTACGTAACACCTGCTCCTTGGTAGGGCTAAACGATTTGTACAAATCGAAAGCGGTTTTCCTTGGTGGCTGCTCACTAAAAGGTTTATCCTCATCTATATTTGGTATCTGTTCGTACAGAATGTGACGCACCAGAGCTGTGAAAATTTTGAAAATTGATCAGATTGGAAACTCTATCATGCGTTTAGTATTTTCATTGGCCAGTCATGATTACTTAACGCTGTGAAGTTGTTTGCGACAGTTTTCTCCACAACTAAAAATATCCTTAACTGTAGTGCTATTCTGTTAAATGATCACCCACGGATCCGCATCGGATCCGCGCGTGCAAATTTTACAGAATGTAAACCCAGATTTGGGCGAATCCATATCGGATTCGCGCGTGAAAATTTTAGAGAATAGCAGGGTCATTATACGGAGTACAAAAAAAAACTGTTCTTTGGTGATGTTTAACTATTTATAAGTTATTTCAAAAGCTGAAAGATCTATTTAGTACATTATTGTGACTATTTACCAAAAACATTACAAATTCAACCATACCTTATCTGCTAATTTGTAAAAAAAAATCAAAACAGAAGCGTGGTCATATTCCGTGAACTGTTCTAAACACATTTTTCGTCAGAAAAGCTGGGAAAAAAATTATATTACACACTTGAATTAAAACGAACTCACAGTATCTGTTTTCACACATCCCAATAAACATCAGAACATAGTAGTTTATTTTTTCTTATTAATATATTAAAATTTATAGCCATTATACAGGTGTTATAAAATATTAAATCAATACCGTGAACTACTATTTTCACCCAACAAAAAATTTTTGAGAACTGAATTACTGCTCTTATTACCTGGTTACACTGCTTTTTGCTGTAAGTTCAGTTGTGTGTGCTAACCAATAAGGAGGTTATGTACTGTGAAGTTTTGTTAAAAAAATATATGTATTATACGTTTCTGGTAAAGTTTGACCCGTCAATTCGGTTAGGGACTTTTTTGATATGTAGTAACGTATTTACTTTGCCACCGCAGCTCATAATTAATGCCATGGGGACTTATTTTGGTTGTAGTTATAAATTAATATGTAACTTTTAAAACCACGACGTAGCATGATTTTAAAAATGATTCGTCAATCCCGTGATCGTCATTACTGTGAACTTGTTGTTCACAGAACTTGTGTTTTTTCGATGTTTAATACAAACACTTTTGTATGGCATTATTCAGAGTCTGGTCATGGAAAAGGACCCCAGACGGTGTAGGTGGCTACTTAAAAAAACATAATAATCGACGAGTGGTTTTGGGGAATGACATTCCAGATCACCAAACTTTGATATTATTTTTTGAAAAAAATAGAAAATAACTTTTGGAATAAAATGACCTCTTGGTTAGGTTAATGCCAATAAATGATATATGTATTATTAGGCCAATAGAGAACATCTTCTTTTTCAGAATAGCTTTACAAAACCTATCAAGGCACGATGAAAGTTCATCAAATTGTTTGGGCAAAAGAAAACCCAGATTATCTTCAAGCCAGGCGATTGAGTTGTTTGGAATGTCATTCAGATATTGGTCGTCATTTTATGCTGGAAAAAATGTAATCACCAATACAATTATTACATGCAACACAGAAAATGAGCCCCCTATACCATCATGCTCTAAATTACGTGTCGATGAAATTTATTCTGATAGGTAAAAGAAAAATTAGGCCTCTGAGACAAAACAGGGTAAATTTTTTGGCTGTTGAATATACCCAGAACATTATAATAAGAGAGTTCGCACATTTTTATCATATAATGACTTCAGTGATTCTTATAATTTAGTATCACAGAAATGACGTTCCTACTAAATATCATTTCCGTGGACATGAATGTTTGATTTTTTTATTGTCTTTTAAAATTATTGATCAAAATAATGTTTCATAATTTATGTTATCTTGGTTTAATGGTTTTCGGTAGAACATTTATTATTATCATAACTGTATTAATTCTTAAGTTATGATCACTTAGATCATTTCAGTGAAAACGTGCGTCAATTCTGTGAGACTTAAAAAATGACTTTCATGTTTTTACGTATTAAACGTAATGAAAATTCTGTTTTATGTTGTGATTATGGTATTTGATTATATTTTGCAAAAAATAAATGTTTGAAACCCAAAAAATCCTCACTTTAATTTTTGTGATTTAAAAAAGACCATTTCGTATAATGACCCAACACTGCTGGTGGCAGGAAAAAAAATATGGACGATTCAAAAGAGATGTATTATGCTTTCAAATTGAATAAAAATTCTTTGACTTTGAAATAATCTATCTATTATATATATAACTAGCAAACCCGGCGAACTCCGTTTCGCCACCAGATGGCTTCGTTTTATGTAACATTTCGTTTGGTGATTAAAAGAAGTTTTTTTTTTTTAATTTTTCCTAAATTTCCTCACGGAGCCCGAGACCTTTCCAACGAATGCAAAACCGTGGAAATCGGTTCGTGCGTTCTGGAGTTATAGCGTCAGGAAGGAAAACCCGACTTATTTTTATATAGTAGATAAAAAATCGCTGAATGTGTTGCTGAGAGCAAATCTCGAAAACAGATGAACCGATTTCGATAATTCTTTTCTTAGAATATTCCTTGAAATACGAGGATGGTTTTTACGAAGAGAAAAAAAAAAGTCCAAAAACTTTTTTTCTAAACTCCCATACAAACGATTCGTAATAATACTTGGAAGTCAATTTGAACTTTAATACCATTCCATAAATTAACCATTTTCAGTTTTTTTTTATAATTATATGAAGAGTCATTTTAGTCTACACTACAGCTCTACACCGAAGCGAAGCGAGGGCGAGCCACTAGTTGACTTCTTCTTTCTGTGTTCTGTAGTTCCAACTATATATATATAAGTGCGTTTATTTCGTTCGTAGTTATGGTCGTAGCTACGCACACTAATCGCATTCGTAACGTAATCGCCTCGCCTCGGAATTAGTTCCCAAACATGCGTAGTCAACTCCATCCGTACACTAGCTTAGTATTCTTCTTAGTCTGGCTTACGTCTATTCTTAGCCAAGCTTGAATTTATCTCCATACAAAATAAAAAATTGTGTGCACGGACCACACATCTGAAGTGAAACTTCTTTTCTTAAATAACCTAACATTAGGCGGTGCATAAGGCATAGGGGAATGGAGCAGCACACACAACACTAATATATCTACGTATGTATATATATATTGTCGCCTGTGACGCTCGTGACGGTCGTAGCATAGCCTTCGCCGAGTTACCATCCAACTTTCATGCTCATCGGGAAGAGCTGCGCACGCATCCCACACACATAACCAACAATTGAACGAGTCGCCAATTTGCCTGCGGCATATTTTAAAACAGCGAGCGTTTCTAAATAGACGACGCCGTTTGTAAAATGCGGAATCATACAAATTGCGTACGACACATACATACCCTATTAGCCTTACAGCTTGTTTTATCTATAGGTACTAGCTGACCCAGCGAACTTCGTACCGCCCTAAAAAAATAGGGGTTGTCCAGCGGACAAAATTGTGAATCTAAACCATTCTCAGATCCCCTTGAACACACACAAAAAATTTCATCAAAATCGGTCCAGTCGTTTAAGAGAAGTACAGTGACATACACACTCACAGAAGAATTATATATATAAAGATTCTTCTGTGAGTGTGTATGTCACTGAACTTCTCTTAAACGACTGGACCGATTTTGATGAATTTTTTTGTGTGTGTTCAAGGGGATCTGAGAATAGTTTAGATTCACAATTTTGTCCGCTGGACAACCCCTATTTTTTTAGGGCGGTACGAAGTTCGCTGGGTCAGCTAATAGGTATATAAAATACTTTTGTAAATTCCGTTGATTTTCAAAACAATGATGAATTAGTACTAATGAAACTTTAATCTACGAGTGCTAGTTAGGTACTTACATACAAAATGCTTGTCGGTATCAAGTAACCGGAAACATATGGCTAAGGCTGGTGCAGACAAGAGCACATGCATTGAGGCTTCGTTGATGGGAGCATCTCCCGCGTACAGTATGTCCTCGGCCGTTGCCTTGGTCAGCTGTAACACTTCCCGACCGACCATCACGATGTCTACGACAACAAATAAATATATAAATTGATCTATATTAAATGCATAATGTATTTAAGGTACTTAATTGGATAAGAATGAATGCTGTATTGCTGAAAATCGCTTCGTAAATAAGCTATTAATTCTCGTAATATATAAATATTTCTAACATACACACTCACACACACACCAATGAGGGCTACCGTTTTTTGTTTCACCAGATGACGCCACTGTTGAGTGAGGTCCTGTACCCCTAGCACGAACCAAAATCGAATTCGTAACGTTTGCGAGTCCGAACTGTCATTGTCAAATGTGTACTGATTTTTAGTTCTCGTTACGTACTTTGTGGCGCTGCTGTTCAAGTTTCCATACAAAATTTTACATTGACATTTCGGACTCGCAAACGTTACGAATCCGATATTGGTTCGTGCTAGGGGTACTGGAGTGTAGCTTTTAAAGTTTGGTAATACGCGCGTGAAATCAAAGTTTACATTTAAATCATATTTTAATACAAAATAACGGTGTCGTAAACGTAAGCGGCCATGCCACAGTGTTGCGCAGTTCCGTTTTGTTCGGAAAAAGGACACAGTAATGTTTCTCAGCTCCGCTTTTAAATCACTGACATTCATTGACACGTAACTAACTCATATTTGCAACAATTAATGGGAGTTATTACCAAATATTCACAATTTTTTTTAATAACACATAAACCCGCGTAGTCAACGAAAAAACCCATTAACATTTGACATTTCGGAGTTTTCACGCTACACAAGCGCCTCTAGCAGCGGATTAAAAACTGTCAAAGTAAGAACTGTCAATGTCAAATTGTGTATGGAAACTTAAACAGCAGCCCCATAACGGACTTAACGAGAACTAAAAATTCCGGCGGAAGTTAAGCAACTTTCGCAATGGTGGGTCATTGGATGGGTGACCAAAACTAACTATCTCGAGCTCCTCCGCGATTCGGAAGGCACGTTAAGCCGTTCGTCCCGGCTGCATCTGCAGTCGTTAACATCCACCAATCCGCACTGGGCCCGCGTTGTGGGACGTGGCCCAATCGCCCTATTCCATCCATAGGGAAGGCCAGTGCCCATGGGCGTTCCCAGCTTCTAGCCTTTGGGAGCCAGATTTTTTAGGTCGGATCGTCCGAAGCTGTTTTGTCATACACACTATACATACACACCTACATGTAACATTAGGTATGTGCGTGTCTAAAGTAAATCACTACACATTAAGAATCAGACAGATTTCTATACTATGATATACGAGTAGACAGTGTGTGAATATTTATTAATCACCTTCGTTTGATTTAGCTCCTTGAAAACAATGATGTATAACATATATACAGGTTATACGCCAACATTCAATGGCGTATAATATATAGATAGCTTTTACGCCATCAATAATGCATTTAAAATGGCACATGTAGTCCCCGCCCCAACTTCTCTTGGCAACAGCCGCCAATAGAGCGCACTCAAGTAGTCTCTTTCACTCTCATTCATAAAGCAGATTACATCATGCCATTAATTAGATAAACCAGAGTTACATAACTATGTGATCTAATATTTTAAATGTGACAGTTTATAGTTTATTGGTTACTGTCATACAAAATACTCTCGTGAACCTCCATCTGGTTTTACAGAACTCTTGAAAGGAAGTAGGTAGAAGACATCTGAAAATTCCTCAGTAGCGTGTCACTGTGACCGCCATTACACCACAAGAATATCAATAAAAGTAAAAAGAAACTAACAGCCTGCATACATATTAAACGTGATTTCTCGGAAACCTTAGTTTGCGAGAACAATTCGCACTCGGCCACGAGCACAGATCATAGAACTTTCTGTTTTCTGTGGTCACGGGTGTAGATTCTGCTAATCTATCGGAAAAATCGTGTCTTAATAGTGGTTCAATAGTAGGTATCGTTTTTTGACACAGCCTCTGTAAATAAAATAAATTTCAACGTGTTAGATGCTCTGAAATTATTTATTTATTGATTTTCGCATCTTTTGCACGAATACGTCGTCGAATATCTGATGCTTCATCTTATGTGCGTGAAACAAATACAGTCTCTGTAACAAAACAACAAGTGCTTAAGATAACTATAACAAATGAATAAAGAAATATGTTTGTTATTTTGTGTTTTTGTAACAATAACTATGTTAAAATCAAAAGTACTGCACACATTTTAGACGCTGTCTTTTACTATTTTCTTCTTAACTCGCCACACTTTACTAATAAACAAGTGAGTAGTGTAGACTTCTGAAATGTAACCTCGTTGACAATCCAAGATAACAATTTGCTAATTGTGCAAATTGGTACTCTAAAACGCAAGCGAATCAAAGTAGTGACACCCACAGCTTCGCGCTCCGCAGTCATTGTCCTATCAATGGATCACCATACTAGAGCTATTTTTTTATATAGTGATTATGAAATCAGAATAGTTATGAAAGAAGCATTAGATTAGACAGTAAAATGATTCAACTTATTTCTTTACCAATTATGCAGTGATACTAATTTTTGACTAATTATTTAATTATGTTTTTATCACCGTTCATCCACCTTGATTAAGCAAGGGTGCAATTCACAGATGAAGCATGGACAGAAACATGAAGTCATTTTTACCCATCAACAAATCATCTATAGATGGAAATTGGTGCATTGGTGTAATATACGCTGGCCTACGTTATCACCGTCTAACTGTGGCCACGATTCCAACGCGTATAAAGAAATTTGGTGACTCATTTCTTTGTCGCACTATCCGTAAATGGAATGCTCTGCCCGCTCACGTGTTCCCTCCTTCTTACAACCTGGGATCCTTTAAAAGAGGCGTGAAGAAGCTACATGCAAGCCGGCAAGGTGAGGATGGCTGTTGTGGCAGGTAGAACTGCTGTACCAGCTATCTTCGCGTCTGGACTTCACCGTCACTTAACATCAGGTGACGTGGAGTCATTTGTCGGACCTATCTATAAAAAAAATGTAGCCGGAACAGCAAGAAATTCAGATGTCTTAAACGCGGCACCATCAGCCCTGTAACTGCTTAGATTCCACATTGTTAACTTCAGAATCATGTCAGTGATTGTCAGAGTTACTAACTATTCAGATCCCATCGCTCCTGGTGCGCATTGGTGGCGTGTGGCCAGAACAGTATGAAGGTGAGATATCTAAGGCGCGGCATCATCAGGTCCGTGCGATGACGCCAGTTTTAGAATACCTAACTGTTTAGATCCTACCTTGTTGACCTCGAAATCCTATAAAGGTTGGTAATTATGAGAGCTACTTACTTCTGAAAACTTCGGAATCCTGTAGAGGTTGGTGATTATGTGAGTTACTAACTGTTCAAATCCCATCGCTCGTACAACTCCGGGTGAGCATTGGTGGCGTGTGACCAGAACAGTACGAAGGTGATATGTCTAAAGCGCGGCATCATCAGGTCCGTGCGATGACGCCAGTTTTAGAATACCTTACTGTTTAGATCCTACCTTGTTGACCTCGGAATCCTATAAAGGTTGGTAATTATGAGAGCTACTTACTGTTCAAATCCCATCGCTCGTAGAGCTCCGGGTGCGCGTTTGGGATTGGTGGCGTATGGCCAGAACAGTACGAAGGTGAGATGTCTAAGGCGCGGCATCATCAAGTCCGTGCGATGACGCCAGTTTTAGAGTAACTTCCTGTTTAGATCCTAACTACCTTGTTGACTTCGGAATCCTATAAAGGTTGGTAATTATGAGAGCTACTAACTGTTCAAATCCCATCGCTCGTAGAGCTCCGCGTGCGCATTGGTGGCATGTGGCCAGAACAGTACGAAGGTGAGATGTCTAAGGCGCGGCATCATCAGGTCCGTGCGATGACACCAGTTTTAGAGTAACTACCTCTTTAGATCCTGTCTTGTTAACTTCGGAATCCTATAAAAGTTGGTAATTTATTATGAGAGCTACTAACTGTTCAAATCCCATCGCTCGTAGAGCTCCGCGTGCGCATTGGTGGCATGTGGCCAGAACAGTATGAAGGTGAGATATCTAAGGCGCGGCATCATCAGGTCCATGCGATGACACCAGTTTTAGAGTAACTACCTGTTTAGATCCTGCTTTGTTGACTGCGGAATCCTGTAAAGGTTGTTGATTATGTGAGCCACTAACTGTTCAAATCCCATCGCTCGTAAAGCTCCGGGTGCGCATTGGTGGCATGTGGCCAGAACAGTACGAAGTTCAGATGTCTTAAGCGCGGCACCATCAGTTCCGCGCGGTGCCGCTTGCGGGCCGCCTGCCGCGCCGCCCGTCGGCTGGCCAACGTTAAGGCTTCTAGCTTCTTCTCGACAGATCTTTTAGTCATCCACTCCTACAAAAACATGATACATTAATATCTATTTCTTACTAGCTTCCGCTACGTCCGCGTTTACTTTAGATTTTTTGAAAATCCCACAGAAATTTAACATTTTTGTGGGTAAACAGTATCCTATTACTCATTCCAGATAATAAACTATGTGTGTCAAATTTCATCCAAAATCTGTTTAGACATTTTTGCGTGATTGAGTAAGAAACATACAGACTTCACATTCATTATTAATAGGATGCTTTCACGCATTAGTATTACGCAGGGTATTGAGCAGTGCATTTTTCGACGAATAGGTTTGCAATGCTTTTTTGTTGTAATTTTTATGATAAAAGTGTGCTTTATTATGTTGTAGTGTGTTTTTTGGTGAAGACCTGTAATTGGCTTTCTGTTTTTATTTAAGTTTTTATTATTTTTAATAATAGCTGTTGGCCTTCCAAAAAATATATAAATAAATAAAAATAAATAAATACCAATCATTTATTGAAATAATTGTTTTGAACGGAATTTGAAAGCGCGTTTTTTTTTTATTTCTTTTAATTAATATTGGCGTTTTGCACTCATTACAGGCTCCGTGGTCCCAACACCATAAGCAAATAATAAAAAAAGAAATGAAATAAAAACCGGCTTATACCCGTTGACTCGCACTTAACCGGTTTTTTATAAGTTAATTCGTATTATCAGAAAATCGTTCTCTCCTCGTCAGCTCCTAGTAAAAGTGTTTAGGTAGAATTCTTGCGAATAGAATAAAATTGATGATACAAGCTTACCGTTTCTGATGTCAGAAGCGGTATTATACTATAAGTACAAACTAAACGCGGCCGGGCAGCGTTCGTGTTAGTCTATGCTACAAATATAGACTAATTGCGATTGAACATATAAAGATTAGGACGAGAAAAGGTGTTAAACCAGAACATGGTACTACTACGCAGTTCCGTGGGTTCAAGGATTGACTCAAGGCAGAGATACGGAGGTTATCACCCAAATTCTTGTTATTACCATTTCATCCGGCGTCGGCTGGCTCAGGTCGTAGGTGGACCTGTCAGTCGCAGCACTACTCAGCTCCATTTTGTGGTAGTTCAGCTCCGCCTTTGCCACTTCAGCCATCCTGATGGCGTCTACACCTCTCAAAACCTTCGTTACCTTCAGATTCTATTCAAATTAAACAACAAATGAATAGATTTATAGAAATGCAACTTTTTTTTTTTCTTCGTCTATCATGTGGGGTAGATTATCAAAAAGTATTGTACACGTATTTTTTATTTTTTCACATAGTAGAAACATTACAGAGATACCTATATTGATTTAAAATGTCGTATGACGTCACGCCTTGGTACAATTTTTACTTCGAATTGACGTCACGTGCCCACTGGTCGTCGCTTGGTGCGCTTGCCTAATTTGCTTAGTAAAGGGAAGCGCCAACGTGTATATAATTATAGACGGGTGGGCTGAAGAAGGCAGGCAGCCGTGACTGCCGGTCTTAGTCGGCCCTAAGGTGGTCTGGGCGCGGCTTGGCCGCCGCGTGCCCTAGGTGCCATTCGGCATAGATCACCCCGTCTGGGGATTGCGTAGTACCCTAGCGCAATCCCCCAGAGGCGTGTCGCCCGGTCCACTGATTGGGCCGGGCCGACCCCGGGGCGTCCCAGTGAAGTGGCGCACACAGAGGTGCGCCGATCCTGAGACGTTCCCATAAGGGCGTAGGAGGGTACCGGTGGTTTTTAGTGGGTAGAACCGGCGCTGTTATGCGTTGGGGAGTCCCACACACGTCGCGCGCCTAGCGAGCGTGCGGTATGGTCCGTAAATGGATTTTCCATCGTCAAAAAAAACGGTAAAAGGGTGTGCGGGAGGACGAGAACGGGGACGGGGAGGTGCGGGCGGCAGGCACATTCTTGTCAAAATTACAAGCACCCGCAGGCGAGAACTCAGTGTAGCGGTCTACCTGTAGAACTCAGTTAGCATCGCTTGTCAACAGTCGCCGTCCCTCGCCAACATTTGTCTCACGTCGTCCATAACATAGAGAAAGCACTTAACCACTACCAGAGCCCTCTTTCCCAGTGGGCACTTTGGGCAAGTGCCCAGGACCCCGTGATCGATAGAGGCCCCGTCAGATCAAATACAAAGTCCCTAGTTCCTGTTAGATCACTAAACTATAACCAATATTTAATTTTATTACCAAAAAACTTATACAATTCGATGAAATCGAACCTAAATTACTGACTACAATACCAATTTACTAGCTTTTACTTAAGCGAAGCTATTCTACTCTCGCCCAAAAATTACGCTTTCCTACTTCGGCATGCTTAGATAAATTATGGTATACTAAGCACATCAAGTCAGAATCATAATCCATATCAAAGTCATAGGAGGGCCCATTATCCTGATATGCCCAGGGCCTCCAATAGGTTAAAGACAGCCCTGACCACTACGTAACTGATAGAGTACAACGTATTGGGAGCTCCACAATGCTCGTCTATAATGGCCACTTGCATTGTCGTTCTTGAATCTTGCCCAACGTCTAACGGTAGCAATGGCTTTGTATCAGTTCGCGTAAGCTCGAGTTGGGTTAAGCTCGACCAACATGTATTGGCGATTTTATAAAATATGAGAGACAGCATTGGCTTAAGACAAAGTCGAACTAAATTTTTTTGAATTTTAGAATAAGACAGGCAGGGTTCCAGATTCATAAAAAAATAACAAAGATAAATGAAAATAATCATCCAAAATTTTTGATTAAAAGTTTAACTTATAATAGTTTAACTGATTCTTTCCGTAAACATACAATTTTAGTAACAAAAGGATTAAAATATGGCTTGAAACCGGTTTCGAAAATACCGGGAAAAAAAAGGTTAATACCGGTTATTAGTAAAGGTTTCGTTCGGAACGCGTCCGAAATGAAAGCGGTACCTAAAACCTTAATAAACCGGTTTAATCCAGAGCGACACGTGCCCGCGTCGGCGTCGCTTGAAGTTTGTTTATTGACAAATTTAACTTTATAAACGAATTTCCATAATAATAATTACAAAAAACTACTACTGTAAAGAAGATCAATTGAGTAAGTTATAAAATTAATGAAATCAGATGCCATTTATGCATGCTTTGAGAAATAAAGTTGTTTAATACAAATTAGGTTCTTTATAGGATAATTGTTTATTTTTTTAATTCTCTTTTGTAATTTTTATCTATATTGCGATACCCTGACAGGGTTCATGTTAGGTGCTTTATGCATTTTGTAACTTGTAACCATCTATGTAACCACATGAGTGCAATAAATTGAATTGACTTGATAATGCTCAGAGATTGATGCATTTATTGACACGTTTGCTAGCGTCTAGTGAGTCAAGTTATTCATTTAATATCGATGCCGTCAGTAAGAGCGAAATGAAACCCTTTAAAAACCCGCTAAATTGATTTAAAACCTATTTGATTTCGCTTTTTAGGAAAACCGGTTTTTTAAGGTTAAGGTAGAGCCAAACCTAAATAAAACGCTCCTGATGTACTTGACACTGATTTAGGTTTGAAAATTAACCGGTAAACAAGCCCTGGATTAAAATGAGGAATAATTTTATTATTTTTTTCTGAAATTTTCTTTTTTGTATCTTTCCTTTGAGGGTTAAATGATTCATGATAAATTCCTCGTATCGTGTGTTTACATTTGAAATTGAAAATTGCTTACTCACCTTAATAAACAAATAAACTGGTTCGCTTTGGTAGCGGAATCTCTGCAACGCTTCGATTTCTTCTGCCGGCACCTGTGAAGTATCTATATTAATTAATAACAAAAATCGCTCAATAAAATTTGTAGGTACTCAATTAAGTTAGCATCGTATCAAATTAATAACAACATGAGGCTGAGCTCAATAAATTTTAATTACAATATTACACAATCAATATTAGAATATTCTATTGTACAAATCCAATTAAAAGTTTGACTACAAATTTGGACAGGTATTCAGGTACCCATTTAGGTTTCAATTTAACTTATGTTTTTCAGTGCCTATTTATTAACTGTCCATCAAGTCATTAGGGTTCATCAATTCATGTAGGAGAAGCCCGGGCAAGATGCACAGTGTGGTTAGGTAGGACGAATATTCGAGGAGCTCGATGGAGCAGTGGCTAACGCGTTCGGTCTGCGATCGTGGAAGTAAAGCAACTTTCGCAATGGCCGTTCATCGAATGGGTGACCAAAATTTATTATCTTACTGATCTTTATGATCTTACATAGAAAAGGCCTACCAAATATAAACAAAATATTTCTCAACACATTTGCTCAAAAAATGCATTTACGGAGGTTGTCAATATTGTTCGAAAGTTCAAAATTACGGGCCATACAACGGAGACGGTAAAACGTTTTACCGCACGCTCCCATACATGGCGCCGTGCGTATCCTTTACGGTTTTTTTTTATTACGGTCGAAACTCCTTGGAAGCGTACTTCAATACTGAATGAAAAAGAGACGAAAGATGTAGTTCAAATTTTCACCACCCGCAAGTGGCGCCACCATTTTTTTATTAGAAAACAGTTTGCTTCATCACGTATAGATATAGGTTCTAGGATTGCCAGATACTGGCTTATCAATTCCGGGACAATTGCACTCCCCCCCCCCTGAAAAATTAAACCATGAAATTAAAACCGCCATCACCCCCCAGAATTAACACATCAAGCCGGCCAGCGGTGTCATTCGATTAGTTTATTTTGTTACGGAACTAGCACATTATCGGTATCTTGGACAATAAGGTCTAATTACTGGACAAGGGACAAGACGCAAAATTCCGGGACAATTCCGGATTTCCCGACTATCTGGCAAACCTAATAGGTACTGTAACCCTAGCACGAACCAACATCGAATTCGTATCGTTTGCGAGTCCGAAATGTCATTGTCAAATGTGTACTGATTTTTAGTTCTCGTTACGTACTTTGTGCCGCTACTGTTCAAGTTTCCATACAACGACTCGCAAACGATACAAATTCGATATTGTTTCGTGCTAAGAGTACTGTTGTCTCCCAAATGTGTTGACAAACGTTGTATGACAATCGTGCGCATTGGTATTTAGAAACTCGCGACTATGGTAACATTACAATCGTCTACTCCAGTGATTCCCAAAGTGGTCTATATCGACCCCTAGGGGTCTACGTCAGCGAAAAAAAATCAATATCAGGTAAGTAGGGGGTGTACCCAACACGGAAAAACATGGCAAGGGGTCTACGACACAAAAAAGTTTGGGGAACTCTGGTCTACTCGTTTGTAACACAAATTATATAGTGACGTTTGTAATAACCATTTTAATAACCGCACTAATATCATAAATAATTATATAATATCTTTCTTTACCCCTGGAGTACCAGTGTAGCACGGACATAAGAGAGAAATAGATGATGAATAAAACCTTAAGTAATATCATTTGACCGTCGCTCCAGTCCAATTTGATGATGGTGAACAGCCGATCCAGCGCTGTACAAGAGCCGAAACAAGTGTTGTACACCTCTGCACCTAAATAGTACCACAAGTTACCACTCTGCACCTAACGGGGCTTATTAATGAACGAGGAATAAGGTTAAGACCAGTTACACCATGTTTTATTCATATCAGTAAAATGACAGATACCATTCAATGAACAAGGATATAATATGCAGTAACTAATCTAAGCTTATTCTTCGTTTATTCATCATCATCATCAGTCTATTAATGTCCCCACTGCTGGGGCACAGGCCTTCCCTATGGATGGAATAGGGAGATTGGGCCATGACCCACCACGCGGGCCCAGTGCAGATTGGTGGGTGCTAACGACTGCAGATGCAGCCGGTACCAACGGCTTAACGTGCCTTCCGAAGCACGAAGGGGCTCGAGATAGTAAATGTTTGGTCACCCATCCAATGACCGACCACTGCGAAAGTAGCTTAACTTCAACGATCGCAGCCGAACGCGCTAACCACTTGTGCCATCGAGCTCCTCATTTATTATTCCTCCTTCGTTTATTAATATACCCCAAAGAGTAGCACACACTACTAGTCTACACCTTAATAAAGGGGTAAGAGTACCACAATTACAGCTTGGAGTTCGATGGCGCAGGTGTTTAGCGCTTATTATTTACTAGCTGTGCCCCGCGGTGTTACCCGCTGTTTATAATGGAAATTGTTAAGCAGTAAAACGTAGCCTATGTGTTAATCCAGGGTCTCACCTAACTCCATACCAAATTTTATTAAAATCGCTTCAGCTGTACGTGAAGAAGTAACAAACATACACACTCACACACTTACAAACTTTCGCCTTTATAATATTAGTGTGATTTTGGGATCGGAGGGTGTGGAGCTTTCGAGTCCCGTCTGCTGCCTGGAGCGTGTTATTATTTTTCTATTAAATAAATTTTCATAATATCGGTGGATAGAAACACAATACTAAATGATTAATTATTAGATAAGAGCAACATAGGCACATCATGTTTATTAATAAGACCCCAAGTGATTAGACATAATCTCTGTAATCTGTGAAAAGATTAACATAGGTACCTACCTGCATATATTCAAGGACCTATAAATACCCACCTAACACTCGTTCCCCGTGGATACACCAGTGTAACTACGAGGAAGAACACAGAAAGAGGTTAGTTGGGCCTTGTGGGCGGGGCAGGCGCGCCGAAAGTTATGTGTGAGCAAATGCTCATAACTTGACTAAAACTCGGTTCTGATTGCGTCGTTGCTCTCGGCTGTGAGCGCTGATTGGTTCGATTGTTTGATGTCGCGTCGTTTGAATGGCTATTATCTTTATGGGGCCGTTCAAGTATTACGTAAGCAGATTTATTACAATTTTTACCCCCTCCTCCCCCTTGTCAGCAAAAGTAAGCAAAGCTCTTACTCCCCCCCGTCACGTGCTTACGTAAACATTGGTACCTACATGCATTTGTCCTTTAATGTATTCTGTTTTTTATTGATTTATTGACACAATATTCAACATTGAGTAAGGTACTATTACGAACAAAACCAACTTCTTTCGAATTTTTGATATATGTATACAGTCTTCAGTCCATGACACCCGAATCCATGATGCTGACGTAATCACTATCTCGACGCCCCACCCCCCATATTTATTTTTGATGATATAGTGCTTACGTAATACTTGAACGGCCACTTAGATAGAAGTGTAGTGGGAGCGAACCGGCGACAACGGCTCCCGTGTAACGGTATAATTATGATCACCCTTATAATCTCTTTCAGTGTTCTGTGAGGATGATCCTTTCCTCGTCATTACACCATAAAGAGGTTGACCTACCATTCCATCGATTAAATCTATAAAAAGTTTCAGTTGGTACAAAAATTTCAAATGCAACAACATATAGGATGTGTTTTTAATTCAATTTAACGACATCTGTCTATTCGTCTCTAAACCGACTTGTGTACTCACGAAGACGAGTGCCACCTAGTCATATTTTTCAACTGACTTCAAAAAGAATATCAGCGTTGCAGCGACCCTGGCGTCGTTGTAGCACTATGCTAAGGCATAGACCTAGTTGGCCTTTTTTTTTGTTATTGCTTTTGTTTTGTGGAATCTGGGATGACTCCGCCAAGTACTTGCTCGATGCTTTGGATAGGTTACAGCGGCGCGCGATCCGCATCATAGGCGATGAGGAGGAAACACCTTGAGCCTCTTCAATTACGCCGTGACGTGGCGTCACTGAGCGCGTTCTATCGTCTGTACCACGGCGAGTGTTCTGAGGAGTTATTCTCTCTTATCCCACCTTCCCCTTTCCTTCAGAGGACCACTCGCGCTGGCCTACGTTGTCACCGTCTTACTGTGGCCACAATTCCAACGCGTACAAGGAAATTTGGTGACTCATTTCTTTGTCGCACTATCCGTAAATGGAATGCTCTGCCCGCTCACGTATTCCCTCCCTCTTACAATCTGGGATCCTTTAAAAGAGGCGTGAAGGAGCAACATGCAGGCCGGCAGGGTGATGATGGCTGGTGTGGCAGGTAGAACTGCTGTATCAGCTATCTTCGCGTCTGGACTTCACCTTCACTTAACATAAGGTGGGGTGGAGTCATTTGTCGAAAAAAAAATCTTATTATTTAAGACTAATAAAATTCTTTCTTTCTCAAAAAGGAGAAGGCTCTCAATTCGACTGTGTGTTTCTTTCTTTATGTATCTACCTTTACGTTTCGTGCAATTTTATTGCGTACTTTCAACTACAGCACTTACATATAAGCCTATCTGGATTTGATGTCAGTACGTTCTCGAATTCCTTTTCATTGTGTATATCAATGAAGAGCTCTATTTTCTTGCGAGCTGCCATTTTTACTAGTCATCAAATTGTGACAAATTTCCAATATGGACTCGTTTTAGTTAAAATCTGTTGGGCCACGGGCGACATGCCACAGCCGCAGCCGGTGTTATTCAATATTACGACGACCTTTTTTTCCGCCCAGGCGGGGGAGCGGGTGAAAAATCCTTATGGATACCCTGCAGCCAGCTACAAGGTTATGTCAGACTCTAACTGACTAAGAAACACCCGTGGGGTATACTTTGTGTAAGCATCAATACATACTATGACATATTCGTCGCATCCTTGAGCATTCTTTGTACCGAGCTTACCAGTTATGTCCATATGAATGACTTGAAATGCTGCAGTGGGTTTTTGGATAGGGTCTAGCTGTGCCTGCACTGCCCCCGACGATCCTTTAGAAGTTCTATCTACCACACAATTATCAGTAAAAGTGTCTATGGCCATAAGGGCCTTACAGGCTTCATCTCATGCAATCAACCCTTGAGAAGGGGATGATGCTTACGACTTCCGTTGTGTAAGGGTAGGGATATAGGATATACGCCGGCTTTCAAGGAGTCGCCTACTTAGGGGATTTTTTTTAAAGTTAGGTAGGCAAATGACTCTACCCCACTTGGTGTTAAGTGGTGGTAAAGTCCAAAAGGCAAAGATTCAGCAGTCTTGAACTGCCACTCCAACCATCCTCACCTTGCCGGCCTGCAGAAATCGTTCTTCACTTCGTAAATGCAGTTTTTGAGCAAATGTGTTGAAAATAACATTACCGTGCTTTGAGTCTAGGATACTTGGTGTGAATGTTAAAAATAAAAATTAAAAGTAAAAAAAGTGTAGTTAGTATTAATAATTACAGCATAAAAATAAAAATCCGATTATAAAAATGTACCTAATTATTTACGTAATTCTAAAGGAAATTTATGGAAACAGATTTTCTTTTTGTTATAAAGACTTCAAACTTCATTGTTGGTCAACTTCAGGTGAATCAGCTAGCATTGATTTTAACCGATTCCAAAAACCAGGAGGTTTTCAATTCCTCATCCAACCTGTTTTATATCTATTTCTTAAAGAGTAAACAGGGAATTTTGATCTTCTACCCGGCTTCTATACATAAAAGGAAATCATTTTGAAATCAAACCCCATTTTCTTATTCATTATTAAGTTAGGAAACTGCTGAACTACATATATACGTCAATGACCCCGAAAATTTTAAACATCAAGGTAAATGTGTTTATTGTATCATCATACCTAGTTAAAATGAGTAAAGTGAATCTAATAAAATACGTATTGTAATTTCACAGCGGCCAAAGTTCACATAGAATAGAAGCGTTTATCATGCTACATTACATTCGTTTGACCAACGAATTCCACAAGTATTTCATTTCGTTTTTAACCTTAATTACACGACCATAGAGCACAGATTGCATTGTAGGTTAAATTGATTCTATATTTATTCCGCCAACGCCGCAATCACACTGTTTAGAATTCAAACATTGTAATTGAAGATAGCTTATCAATAGATTTCTAGTGTAGGAGTCATTTCAAAAATAACATTAATTTTGTACGATAGGTACAATTAGAATAGATAAGTAATGGTGTCAATTCTGGCATCTGCTCTAAATTTGACAACAGTGGTGTCAATTCGGGCGTGATTCCCTAAACTTAAAACTAAATTTAAGGTCACTCTCACCTTTTCATTCTGTATAGAGAAGGACAAGGATGCACTGTTGTCTAAGTTTTGCTTTAGAGAATCATGCCAGAGTCTATATCAGTGTATCCTTGTCATTCTCTATACAGAATGAATAAGTCAATGGCAAAATTAAAACGAGAGACTTATGTCAAATTTAGTTTTAAGTTTGGAGATTTGTTTCTTATACAGGCCATACACACTACGAGAAATCGTTACGATTAGACTGTACAGTGCGAACGGTACCGATAAATCGTAGCGTGTATGTTGTAAAACTGCACAGTTTTCTATACGTACGCCACGTCCGATAAACTGTTCAGTCCGAACTGTACAGTCTAATCGTAACGATTTCTCGTAGTGTGTATGGCTACCATTAGGTTTTTACGCACATCACTCATTAAATAAATCAGTTTGTACGGGTTATATGCAATGAATTTATTTATTTATTTATTGACAACCGTACAAACTGTTTTATTTAAGTTTGGAGAATCATGCCAGAATCGACACCAATACCTGAATGTTGAATTGAAATCGTAAATAAAGGGCATTCTGAAATTTTTTTTTTAATTTAATTATTGCAACATGCTTAAAATTCAATTACATATATATACATATCTAATCCACTTAATGGATTGTTAATATGTAGCATCCGCCGTAGCAGAAGTTGCAGATATAGATGTTGATCTTAATTTTACTTAGGTACTAAGTATATAAATAATATCAAATTAACTCTTACAATTTGCTCAATTTTATATGCTAAGTAGGTTATACATATTGCTGTAGTTCCTCCTGAATTACTGTTAAAGTGTTTTTTAAGTTTATTTTTTATTTTACAAATGTTATTACAAGTAGTATACAATAATTGTAGTTCTGTAGGTAGCTCGTTAATAATTTTTGGTAATATATATTGGCACACCCTTGTTCCATATAAATTATTATAATTTGGGATCATGCAGGTATCTGTATAATCTAGTTGTCTTAAGTTACTAGATCGGTTTCTCAATGTGATTAAATGTTTATTATGGTATTCGTCTGTTAATGTTACAAGTTTAAATTTATCAAAAATATTTAGAATATTACAGTATTGGAATAAACTTTCGTTATTTAGATTTAGTTTGAGGCGTATTTTCTTTGGTACAAAAGTTTTGATTAGACTAACCTGTAAACTATATATCTGTTGCAAGTTAAATAAAGTTACTTATTGAATTTCTCGAGTCTAGTTGCGTAGCGAAAAGAAATGTTGCGGCCATGGACTCCATGGTTGTGGCAAAATAAGAGGCATAGCGGATTACCCGCTCGAATTGGAGCCTCCGTCGGGGGAAGTAACCTCCACCTTACAGAAGACCACAGTAAAATCATGATCAGCCTTTTAATGTCCCAACTGCTGGGGCACAGGCCTTCCCTATGGATGGAATAGGGAGATTGGGCCATGACCCACCATGCGGTCCCAGTGCGGATTGGCGGGTGCTAACGACTGCAGATGCAGCCGGGACCAACTGCTTAACGTGCCTTCCGAAGCACGGAGGAACTCGAATTAGAAGATTTTTGGTCACCCATCCAATGACCGACCACTGCGAAAGTTGCTTAACTTCAAAGATCGCAGCCGAACGCGCTAACCACCTGCGCCATCGAGCTCCTCGTACTTACTCCTCGTACAGTAAAATAACATTACCTTTTGATGGTGTTGTGTTTCTGTCGGTGAGGAAGGTTCCAGGGCTCCACGGGGTAGGGTCAGGATCCCCATAGGGTCAGGATAACGGCGCGAGTGATATTGTTTGTATCGCAAACGTCTTATAGGCTATGATGGCCGCTTACCATTATTCGGGCCATAAACTCACTTGCCACCCTTTTCCAACTTCTTTAGCTTCATCTGTATTATATACATACAGATGATGATGATGACTTTGGGCAAGTGCCCACTGGGAAAGACGGGTCTGCATATATACATGCAGATGAAGCTAAAGAAGTTGGAAAAGGGTGGCAAGTGAGTTTATGGCCCGAATAATGGTAAGTGGCCACCATAGCCTAGCCTTAGATCAAATACAAAGTCCCTAGTTCCTGTTAAATCACCAAATGGAATTCATAGGGGCCTGCATATATACAGTGCCGTCTTTGACCTATTGGAGGCCCTGGGCATATTAGGATAACGGGGCCCCGGGTGTGTGTACAACATATACATGTAGTAAATATACATATTTCATTTACTAGCTATAAGAGAAAGAGGGAAAGAAAATGTGCGCGTGCACTGCTTTCCCTTTGCTTATATCCCCCACTCAACTCCCGTTCGTCTTGCCCGAACACACTTTTCGTAACGCGTAACGCATTCGCCAGCTTACCCTCCAAGTGAAGCGTGCTTAGAGAAGATTCACTTCAAAAACATGCCCTATCAGTCACCTTTGCCCGGACCAGAAAAGGGACGGCTTTTCTTAATTGTCCATACCTACTTATATTAAATAATGTTAATTAAGTAACTGTATTGTTATCTGTCACGCTTGCACATCGTAACCGCTTAACCGATTTTAATGAATTTTGGTATGGATGTTAAAGAAAGAAGAACTAAAATAAACAACTAGACATTTGCTAAAAAAAATATTTATAAGGGTTAAGTATATACATTGTTTGAAAGTTCAAAATTACGCACCATACAACAGAGCGCGCGGTAAACATTTTACCTTTTAATACTTAAATCAATTTTTCAGAAAATTATGATGAGCCGTGTCATTGGCTTAAAAAATGTAAAAAGCCTAATAACTCCATAGATATTTACGAATCATTGAACACAACGAGAGAACCATCTAATAGGTAAGTAAGAGTTTTTTTGATCTTTTAAACGAAAAATGTTCATTTGGTCAAAAAAAATCGCGATTCTAAATTTTCCTCGGTACAAGTAAAAATAAAAAATATACGTTTTATGGCTGTTAATAGTTATACATCAAAGAATAGGAATAGGGGGTGACTTTTTAAGGGGAGAAAACGTTTTATGGGAGATAAAAAAAAACAAAAAGTCGGTTATTTTTCACAAATATTTTTAGGTTTTGTAAAATAAATGCAAAAAAAAAGTTGTAGATTCTTTAATTACCTACAACTTCGCCATTTTATTTTTAAATGTGGTGTAGTTTTCACACCTTAAAAGGTTGAAATACGGGACTAAAAAAAAATCAGCTATTTCACACATTTCACTCGATTACCTTATGCACTTTTGTATGAAACATCAAATTTTTTTCACGATTTCAGCGTTGGTCCCATAATAGAAGTTGTTCCTGTTGATGTGCAGAATCACCCCCTAAGAGTTTGTTGGTGTTTTAGAATTAACCCTGTATATAGACACGGTTGCATGGGTACATTTCGGCTTGTAAGGGTTGATTTTTTATAGGTTCAAGGGACCGCAAAGGTTTAAATTCAGAAATCAGAATCAAAAATTGCGCCCACCAAAAATAAATAAATCTGTCAATTTTTTTAAATACGTTTTAATGTTACCATAGACGGGGCAAAGGGCCAAAGGATATTCAATTCACAGCCTTACCTTCGATAGTTATATTTTGTCATTTAAGTAATCCCATTCGTGCTCATATTTTATAGTATTTGGAATAAATGGAATAAATGGATCTATTATCAATTTTCTATTATTTCATTTTTTCCAGTTGCCATTAACAATTATGATAATGATACAAAACTACACCATACCAATTTATTTAAATCACAATATCAACAATGGTGTCGATTCTGGCGTGATTCTCTAAACTTAAAATTTTAACATCAATGATGCCGATTCTAGCGAGATTCTCTAAACTTAAAACTAAATTTAACATTAGTCTCTTCTTTTCATTCTGTATGTATAGAGAATAACAAGGATATACTGCTGTCAAATTAAATTGTAGGTTTAAAGAATCATGCTAGAATCGACACTAATGTCTCCCTTTCATTCTGTATAGAGAATGACAAGGATACACCTTTGTCAAATTTAAGTTTCAGCTTAGATAATCATACAACAATCGATACCATTATCCATTTTCAATCAAATCAGAATTCCCTATTAAAAAAATTACGTCAAACAAATTAATAGTTTTGCATTAATGTATTATGGGTAGGTATCGAATCTGGCATTATTCTTTTTTTAATTTTAGACAACAGTCTTTTCCTTCTCTTTAAAGAATAAAAAGAAACGGCTGATGTTTTTAGTTTTAAGTTTAGCATGATGGCTAAAATCGACATATCTCTGACTGTCTAATGCTAATGAAATATCGAACAAAAGTCACTTAACAATGGATAGTTGGTTAGGCAGTAATAATTTTTAAAATGATTATCATCATTGTAAATGAAACTGTCTAACGATCCTTGTTAAATAATACCGATTCCATAAATCATATTCGATTATTCGTTTGGTAGCAAAATATTTATAAAATGGCAATTTCTACGCCGCCATATTGAAAATTTTAGTGATTCCGTAAATTATCGTCTGCAATGGAGTGTTATTTTTGTCTATCAAATTTTCATATTTTCGTTGAAGATTTATCAGAATTATGCAATTTGTTCACTGTTTCTCAGTTCGGTTACGGTCCCTGCAGAAAAGCTTCGGTCGTTTGACAGAATTCGCCTGAGAGTTTGTAAAGTGTCGGTCGATCCTGGAGACATCTTGTGATCGAAAACCACTATTGCACTCAGTAGCTTGGCTGTCTGAATTTGTCCTCACGTGAAACGGTAACAAAATTAGATTGGTGCTATTTAGGGTCCTCAATCATGGAAGTGTCGTGGGGTAAGTGTCTCTTACTGCGTATGAATTATTGATTTTTCATTTGGTGTCATTGTGATGTCATTACGTGGTATTTTCCAGACGCAGATAATTTTGAGCCAAAACTCCCGGCCACGTTGACTACATCGAATAAATGGGAAGGCGAGGACGAAGAAGAGATAGTCAAGGTAACGGATTTTGTTGCCAATATTTTTATTTCTAGCGATTGGTGTTGTTTTTGACGTTACCTTTAATAAATCGTAATGTGTATTGGTTAACCTCAAAAAAAATGCCTACGTGTTGACGAATTATTCCTGTTTCAGGATAGCTGGGAAGATGAAGAAGAAGAGAAGAAGGATGAAGAAAAGAAAGAACAAGCCGTAGCTCCTCCTCCTGCTAAGCCCAAAAAGAAAATTCAAGACAAAATTGCCGAAAAAGAGGTACTAATTTTTGACACATATGTTCACTAGTATCATGTTTATCATGTTGTATTTAAAATGGTGCATTTCTTAATATTGTAGTTACATATATAGGTAAATACACACTAGGAATTGCTAGGTTGTCACAGTTTAAATGTTACATAATTTGAATAATTAAACTTTAATTAGGTTTCTAAGATTTTTGCTAAATGTATAGTTATACACAACTTTATGGCAACTTTATACCTTGCCAAGTAAGTTATAAATGTAAACATACACTAAGCTAAATGAGCTTTGAAAAGTAAAGGCTGTTTAAGGCCTGTATTATAGAAATATTCTCAGTGATTGATCTAGTCTTGAGAATAGTTAAAAAGGGATGTCGCTATATATAGCACATAGCAACATCCCTTTCTAACTGTACTCAAGTAAAGATCAACACTTAGTTGTCATTCTGTAATATAATAATGCGCAAGTACTACTACTGTCTATAATTTTGTTGTGTGAACATAATATTTTTATTATTAAAAGTGCAAGTTGCTTAGTTGTACTCACTTTGGTCCTAGCGTTATGTCACATATTACAATGGTCAATGATTGCAGCAATAGTATATCCTTTGTTTCTATTTCTTGTTTATTGTTAGATATTATAATATTATCAATTAAGTTAAGATCATTAATGCATACAAACAATAAGCTTAATTAACTTCTGCTCAAGATAAAGAAGCCTGTTGTATAATACTTGAAATAATTATTTATGTAATGATAATGAGTTATGACTGCATAATTTCCTATTATTGTTAAATCAAATTAAATTTCATTTTTTTTATTAGATGTATCTTTTAATCTATGTTACTTAACTTTCCTGTTATTATTGACTATGAAAAGTCTCCAAATGTTTGTTCCACAAATGAATTGTCCTCAAGCTTTACTAGAAATTAATATTTTCCTTCTACAATCCAGGCAACCCCAACCATTTGGCTGGGTGCAGATTTCATTTACTGACTCACTTCAAATACTTTTCACAGCGGCTTGAACGTGAGAAGGCTGAACGGCTAGCCAGCGAAAAGCCTGAGGAGTTGACTCCAGAACAGAAGCTCGCTGAAAAACTCCGCCAGCAGAAATTGCAGGAGGAATCTGACTTGCGACTTGCTATGGAAACATTTGGTGAGCTTCTATCAAATTTCATGCATAAGTTTCTAATTTATTATGTTTTAATAATGGTTTAGACAGTTTTTGATTTTGTAATATGGTCTAGGTTCGGTTTAAATACCGGGCATACACTTTTTGATGGCATAATTAAATTGTACTTACTTAGTCGAACCATTGTGGACTGGATATTTATTTACTTTCTGATAATATTTTTGGTTTATGTACATAATACAAACAGTCAACATTGTTCAAATCTCAAATCTATTACTATTTACCTCAATTCATGTATAGAGACTGCTAAAACTCAAATGTTATAGTTCTCATACGTTTGGCGACCCTGCGTCCTCGCCCGCGACAACACGCATCGTGGGATTGCACCTTAAGAGCCCTTTTGAGCGCCTCGTTTACCCTTTCAGGAAAGATTTTGACTATTTCTAATATAAGCAAACAGTAGATTTATTCTTCCTATTGTAAGTTAATGTAGAATATTTGAAAACAATTCCTTTTTTTGTACTGATCGTTTTACTGCAGCTATTTTACGGAAAACACGATAATATGCACAACTTCAAATGCCTCGATCTCTCAATAATGTTCAATAAATTAGATCAAATTAATTACTTCGACATCAGAAATATGTTTTTGTTGTAACATAATGTATTAGAATTTTGATTTTCTATTTCATTAATTATTAAAAAAAAACATCTAACCTCAGTGAGTTTTCCCAAAAAATAATGCAGGTTTACCTCGTATTTTGATATTGAATTATAAAATTACTATCAAAAACTTTCATAAAACTAATCTACCATAATTGAACTACTGAAATATGTATATATTTTTATAATTAGTTCATGAATTATTATTCAATAAGACTCGAAACATCACCCGTAAAATGCAATATATACTAGTTCAAATCTAGGTAGATTTATTATTAGATCGGTGCATAGGTATGCACGGATCTGTAAGGCAGCGGTGCAATTTTGTAAAAGGGCTCTTAAGAAGCATGCAGCCCTGCGACACCAATATTGATGCCAAACCTGATGGTATTAATATTGGTGATGTCTGATGCGACCATAGATCGTCTAGATTTTGATTGCACCATCGCTTTCTCTCTTTTCAGATAGTTGTCATTTCGTGCGAGTTTCGCTAAAGCAATATCTATAATATCTCTGAATTCTGAATGGAATATGGTCATCATCATTGGAAGTCACCATTAACTTAAACTTTTGCTTTGTCTGCAGGTGTGACTGAAGGCGGTGGTAAACTGGACAGCTTCCATCCGACGAGCAAGGAGGAGTTCACAGAGTTTGCAGAGTTGCTCAGCAAGAAGATCACTCTGTACAAGGCCAAGGAAGAGTTCCCAGCGTTCGCTGATGAGCTTGTTAGGAGTATTATTGTTCAAAGTTAGTATACTTCCCCTTTGCACTACTGACCGTTATGCTACCACGGCCCTAATGGCCGATTCGAATTTTCTCTAGTATTTCTTAAGCTGCAAGACAGCGCCATCACTTCGCATTGTAGGTAGCCCACAATGTCAAACGAATACATTTACAAGTATTAAACATTGATAAGAAGAAATAGCAATGACAGCCATATTTATTTATTATTCTTTAAACTACCCTCCTGCTTATAATAATAATAATAAATTCTTTATTTATTTCTTCGCATAAGTAGAAAAAAAGAACATTTAAAATAAACTGCTCAATTATGTTACCTTACGTTTGTAACCTTACCTTATGTTTGTTGAATATGATTAAGTAGTCTTTTTGTACGCAGGGGAGGTAGTTTAAAGAATAATAAATAAATATGGCTGTCATTGCTATTTCTTCTTATCAATGTTTAATACTTGTAAATGTAATCAGCATCATCAGAGGAGCTCGATGGCGCAAGCGGTTAGCGCGTTTGGTTTCGATCGTTGTTGTTAAGCAACTTTCGCAGTGGTCGGTCATTGGATGGGTGAGCAAAAATCTTCTACCCCTAGTTCCTCCGTGCTTCGGAAGCCACGTTAAGCCGTTGGGTCCGCGTGGTGGGTCATAGCCCAATCTCCGTATACCATGTATAGATAAGGCCTGTGCCCCAGCAGTGGGGACATTAATAGGCTGATGATGATGAAACAGGGGAGTACTTTAAAAAATAACTTAGAGAATACTTAATTTTATTAACATCATCTTAAGTATTTTTAAATAGTCATATTAAATTGTTTATTATTTGTTCACAGTGGCATCCGGTGACATCAAAAGGATAAAGATGTCTGTAGACAATATTTACATTGAGAAACAGAAGGCGGAGAAGAACGATAAGGCCAGGAAACCCACAAAAGGCAAGGGCAAAGCCAAATTAAAAGTGGAAGGTGATAATGTAAGTTGAACCTTATGATTTTCATTTGAAATTCCCGATTCTGTAATGGCAAAAATTCCGTGCAAGTCTATTTACAACCATGGGGCCTTTTCTGTTGTTTGTGGACCCTTTCATTTCAATTATGAACATATTTGGGAAATGATAAAATAAATAAATAAATATTTCTAACACACATCAATTAGCCTAGCCCCAAAGTAAGCACTGTAGGGTTGTGTTATGGGATACGAGGGTAACGGATAAAATATGTATATTGTACCCCGAGTAATAAACCATTATCGAATTCGAACAGTTTGCAAACCGAAATGTCAATGTAATTTTTTTTATGGAAACTTGAACAGCAGCAGCACAAAGTACGTAACGAGAAGTAAAAATCAGTACACATTTTACAATGATATTTCGGACTCGCAAGTTAGATATTGGTTACGAATTAGATATTGGTTCGTGCTAGGGGTACAGATACATATATAAGTATATTTATATAGAAATACATATAACATCCATGACTGGAGTACAAATGTTCGTGTTCATTCACACTAACCTCTGACCCAACTGGATTCGAACTGGGATTTCTTGAGTAGGCAAACACCTTTAAACCCGGTAGACCATTCGTCCACGGAGGTCGTCGGATAGATGACCTTGTGTTTTGTATTTCTAGTTTAGTTTATAATCTCACTAGCGGCCGCCCGCGACTGCGTACGCGTGGTGTTAGTTATATGCACATACTTTACTTTGGGGTCAAACCCCAAAAGGGGGTTTATTTCTAAAGATACATTATTAGTACACCTTGACACCATCTATAGAGCATACATGTTAAATATCAAGTCTCTTACTTCAAAAACATAGGACTATCATATAAACTTCCAACCCCCGTATTACCCCTTTACTGGTGGAGTTTCGTGAGAATATGTAGCCTATGTGTTGACCCTACTTCTAAATAATGTTCGTGCCAAATTTGAAGTGAATCCTTGCACTTTTTGAGTTTATCCCGAACATACATACAGAAAAACAGACAAAAATTCTAAAAACTATATTTTTGGTTTCGGTATCAATTGTAGAGCACACCCCAAGTATTCTTTAAAAAAAAATTCAATGTACAGTTTTGACTTTCCTAGCATTTTATATGTAAAGATACTTTGACATATGCTTTAGAATTGCTATTTTTCTAGCGCGAGGTATTTGAAAACCTCAGGCGGCTAGAAATAACAAAATAAAATCGTTAGCGTTAGCGTTTTCCAAAGCATTTGCGTTAGACGAATGGCCCCCTGTTTGTTATCGCCACGTACATAGATACGTCAATGTGACGATTTATGATAAATTGAAATTATAGCAGTTATCAGATTATATGAAACTGTTTAGAATAGAGAAAGGAGTAAGCTAAAAATTGATCAAGTAACATTATTTGAAACACTCCTTTAATTTCTGCATGCTTACGAAGCTGCTAGAACATATTAGCTGATCGCTATATTCCCTTGCTTATAATTCGCGAAGTGGATGTTGTTGTTTATTATCCAGCTTTGTTATTGAACGAACCATTCCTTGTGTAGCATTCATTTTGTATCTTTGTATATCACACAAAAGGCGTACGAATTCGACAAAAAGATGTAAAGTTTTGAGTCGGTAGTCATTTGGGACCGGGACCACTGGTCCTGATGGGGACATGGAATTAATAAATTATTTTGAGGCGGCATTCGGGACCAAACGTAGTCTCAATATCCCCGAAATGTCCCGAATGACACCTATGTTTAATGATTATTTTAAATGGTAAGTTGGGGCCAAAAATATGATCTAAGTTTCTATCTTATTTTTTTATGTCAAGGAAGTACAGACAAATAAAAAAAGGCTTTTAAAAAAAATCTTTTATTTGAAAAAATCACAGCCTTTAATTGAAAGTTAGGTTAGTAGGTTAGTAAACCTAACCTAACTAGGTAAAATCTACATGATTGCACTCAAAATCATATGCTGATAAAAATTTGTAGTTATACATTTCATATGAAGATTAACAACATTTAGATAAAAAAGTAGCTCTCGATATTACTCGATGGTATTTTTTTAAATCAATATCACAACCGTTTTTTTTTTACTATTATTAAATCTTTTATTGCACATAAAAATCAACTAAAATAATAATCAACATAATATTCAACCCCCACCTTAATTATTTGTTAAAGTATTCAGAATCATTATATAATTCAAAACGAAATTACAACATTTATATTGATACCATTTTTTTTATAAATATTGCTTTTAATAAGTTGCTTATAGTAAGTTAATTCAGTATCAGTCTCATGAGGAATCAATGACCGACAGTTATTTGGCCATTTATTAATTCCTGCAATGTCAGGTTGATCTTTTCTTTGGTTGCTACAGTGTCTGCAGATCTTCTTGAAATATTATTTTGATTTCATATATCTTTTTACGTGGTTGTGCCATACTACAATATTGTTTGTTTTATGGTCTTTATTATAAGTGCACCATATTGGAAAATAAATGTCATTTTCTAACCAGGTGTTGACAAAATAATCATCAAAAGCTGTAATGCCTTTGCACTTCAGACAGTCTTCCACTTTGTAAAGCCACTCTTCACTGATCAAATGTAACGGGAGGTGGAACAGCACTGAACATAACGTATATTTTGCCATGTTTTGATTTTGTGGCGCCCAACTGTTTGATTTGTAAACAAACATCTAGTTAAATGGAAAAAAACATCCCAGGATCTTCGCATCCGGCAAAATGCTCCGGATTGCCAATATAGCAGGCACTTCAAAATCCATGCTTATTTTTAAAGGGTTCCACTGAGGTATACGACTTCTTATAAAATAAAAAAAATGGCGTACGTTTCACGGGTTTTATCAGGTAAAAACACATACAATATCGGGACTACGATAACGAAAGAATTGTTGCTGCCAATATCTGTATGGACTGTATACATTTGGTAAAAGTTTCTGGCACGACTTGAAAGTACCATCATTAAACATGTGATTAGATTCGGTATTTTTTTATCATTTCTCAATTACAAAAAAATTAAATTCTTTTATTCCTATATTTATTAAATTTTCATACTTTTTGGGTATTCCGATGTCAATAGCTTTCTTGGCTTCAATTTTTTTCTCTCACAAAATCTTTTTTCTCCTCTAATATAAACTTTTTTATATAATTTGATATACTAAATCCAAGCCGGTATTTTTTATTCTTTCGATGGTTTGTTCAAATAAAGTTTGGATGGGTTTTTCGGGGTTTTGCTCTATATCTTTAAAGCATTGGTTCATTTCAGATTCAATAATGAGATCTGATATGTTTCTTGGAGGGCGACAGTGATTGGTTGAATTAACAATTATTCCACGCATTATTTTAATTGTAGCATTGTAGAAAGCCTTCTTTCGGCAGCTCCATAAATTTGATCCATTTTTATTAGTCCTCTTGAGTATGTATTCATAGTTTGACCCACTTGACATTACCATCGCCATAACATTGATGAGAAGTCATAATTATTACTTAACCAATCGGGATTGATTTGCTAAATAGTAACTGGACCCTTTTTTGTTTAAAGTATATGTAAAAGGCTAAGCTACTTTGTATAAAAAGGTATGGTTCTCGTTTTTCCAGTTTCACAATTTAATACAATTATTTTTTTCAATATACTTTTGAATAATTTTTGTGCAGTGGGTTAGTTAAATAATACAAATTTAAATTGGTAACATATTTTTATTTATCTTGGTAAATAAAAATCTTTATTGATTATGTTATAGTAATAAGCATAAAAAGAAAAACAATTGTATATTTAATAAGTATTTGCACTTACCTATTTGACAAAATAACTCTGACCATGTACACTTGTACACCTTTTATTTGTTTAACTATCTCTAATGCTTTCTCTGTAAACGCATCCCAAATATGAGCTCTGTTTTAGAAGTATTGCAGTTGTTATTATTATAACTACCCGTTGACCTTGACAAAGGGATGTCATTGGTCGAAGAGCACCCCACATAAAAACCATGTTAAACAATAGGGAATGCGTAAGAGAGATAGCACTACGCATGTGCACAACATTTTAGTGTGTGCATTTCCTACCGATAACATAAACACCGTGTTATTTTTAATGTTTTAAATTAAACTAAAGTTTATTTAAATAAAGAACTTAGTTCGGTTAGTTATACATTTATTACTCTAGAGTGGCTGGATTGATTTTCATGATGTTTGATTTATATTTGTCATCACCCCGAATACAAATATACTAACGAGCTTTTGTCGTTAACTGTACTTTTAATCAAACACTTCTTTCTTTATTATTGGTCCCAACTTACCACTCAAAATAATCATTAAACATAGGTGTCATTCGGGACCACTACCTTTGTTCCCGAATGCCGCCTCACAATAATTTATTAATTCCATGTCCCCATCAGGACCAGTGGTCCCGGTCCCAAATGACTACCGACTTAAAGTTTTAAGTACCAAAATTCAAGATCCTACATGATCACTAGTATTCGGTACAAGTCACCAATTGGTCTTTAACTACTTTCACCTGTTTTGAACCAAAATAAGGCTAAAAGTAATCTTCGTCGGTGCAAATACAGTGATTCAGGATCATTTGAAAAAGGATCAAGTCATGTGTACCACATACTGAACCAAATAATACGTAGCATCATTACTGTATGACTTTCGGAGCAATAACTACGTTTTTCATTTCTTAGATCTCAGTCATTTATATGTATTAGTTAATACTGAATAAAGATTTAGTTATTTATTAGATTTACACAGCTTACTTGATGTGTGCAAGTAGTATATGTAGGGTTTGAAGTCTATTTATTCTAGACAGTCGTGGCAAGGTGTCAAAGCGTCAGTTTAATATTAAACAGCAGTATTTTTTACTATAACTAACATAAAGTGGATAATTGCATACAAATCAATACAATCTTCAAAACCTTTTAAGAATTTGGTATATCGTGCAAGCTTTCTTCAGTACATATCAGTATATATCAAAGAGCAAAAGAGTGAGCAACCCATTTGGTTGGTAATTCGATGGGAAACGGTCAAGTAGTTTAATAGAAATATAATCAACTTTTCTCTTTAATGGATTTTTGAACCATTTACTGTCCAAGCAAATTTTATTTTTTATTTTTGTTTGACATTTAATCATTGTTTCCAGGCCCACCTCAACCAATACGACACTTATGGCAACTTCGATGACGATTTCGACGACTTTATGTAAGCACGCGTACAACAAACAACGGTGCCTGGCGTCCCAGCGTTCCCACTCTTATTGACCTCTTTATATGGCTCAAATTCGTTTAACAACACTAGGGGAATAGTCATAAAAAATAACCCCACCCCTTTCACTCTACTAAATATAACCTCTATTTTTTTACTGATAGAGTATAGAAATGCATGTCTGAATCGTCCAGTATTGCCAACACTCCGCTCGGCTATACGTGTTTGCTATTCGTAAACTTGAGAACAGTCTGTCTTTATCATGCTTTACAAGGAACGAAAAGGACAGACTGATGTCAAATTTACAAATGGCAAACACGAATAGCGAAGTCTAGTACTGGCATAACACAATGTTGATTGATGTGTTGTAAGAGAGAATCAATAGTTTCTGATATGTATTTACTATCATTGTTGTTAGAATTGTGGCAGGATCATAGTCAAAGAATACTAATATATTGAAAAAATTATAATGGACAGGGATCTTGCAGTTTGATCAATCAATATATGTCGTATAATAATCTATTATGGGTGAATGTTAATGAAAATATATGAAATGTGTACTGTTTGAGATTTACGTTACAATGTACTTACTGTCAACTTCATATCGGGTTGCCATTCAGAATTTCGCAAGGGATATTGCACTCTATTTCATATAGGTTAAAGTTTAAAAACATAATTAGGAGAAAAGCAGTTTTTAAAAATTAATGGCATATCTCACGCGCAGTTGACAGTCAATTTTATTTCAATATAATTAACCTACATTGCTCGAATGCATTACATTACTTAACATATCAGTTCGTCTCTTTCTTTTATAAGACTTTAAAAAATTGGTTCCCTATATTATTGAACCGGAAAGCATGCTCTATAACATACGATATAAGGTTGAAAATTGGACACAACTCATTGACACCTGTAAATATTCTTCACTACTAAGAGAGAAAGAGATGTACTGAACTTTTAGATTTTAGTAAATTTAGCCTTTATTATAATTGAGCTATATATTCGAGATAGAATTATGGCCGAACTATAGTTACAATAATTTAGCATAGGTAACTACAGTTACTTTATTTCATGTTACTTACTTCTTAACTATCATTAAATCTTCATGATCTTTTCTTTACATCAATATTGCTCAATACAAAAGTTGCCTAACTTAACCATTGTTTCTTTTTAAAATGAAATGAATTTATTTTTAATATGCACCGTACTGCTTATATAAAAAGGGCGCGATTTTAATTGAACGTTTTAAATTATTTGGTTAGATATGTTTTAACTTGTGTTCGTCTACGTATAGGTTGTATGCTGGGTCGCCTGGCATCTATTCGAAGCCATGTATAGCATATATACATCATTATTATATATTATACAATGTAATATACAGTCGTTTCATTCTACGGTTATGGTCCGATGTTATGTTATATAGATAATAAATTTTTATTGTGATATTATTGTTGTTTCATTTCAAATTATTACTTGATAAGTGGATATGCCGCAACTAGGTGTGCCCTGCGGTGTTACCCGCGGTTTATTGGGGATATTTTCCCGCAGTAAAACGTAGCCTATGTGTTAATCCAGGGTGTCAGCTAACTCCATGGGATATGGGATACTAGGGTAACAAATAGAATACATATACCGTACATATATAAGTATATTTTTATATAAATACATATTAAACATCATGACTGGAGTACAAATGCTCGTATTCATCACACAAACATCTGCCCCCACCGGGATTCGAACCCGGGACCTCTCGAGTCGTCGAAATATGTTTTATACAAGCGATTATACTATTGGGCTATGGTGGCCGCTTATCATCAGGCGGCTTACTCTATGCTTCTTTGCGATCCTTTTAACATATAAAAAATAACTAGTAATTAGAGTTCTCTACCATCTTACAACTATTGCTTACTAGAGATGGACGTTTTTAGATATTTTTGAAATCGATCCGCATCGGTATCAAATAATTGGCATAGGATGCCCGCATCGATGCCGGCATCGCATCGATGTCAACTGAATGTCGATATCTTGTATCACAATATCGACATTCAATTGACATCGATGCGATGCCGGCGTCGATGCGGGGATACGATGCAATATGAATTTCTACAGCTGCGTGTTTTGTGTGGGTGTGTCTCTTCGATTCTTTGAATCGGGACTTGAAAATGTAACCGAAAACCATTTATTTACTTTTCGGTATGTTATCTGAAAAGATTGAATGCTGGTAAAATTATTACATAAAAATTTTCACTCAGTGCGTAGGTTTTGAACGCAGGCAGGATGCCAGTTTTGGATGCGCGCATCCGGTGGCAAAAATTAAAACTACAATTTATCCATAGCATTTTTACATTTATGACATATTTGTTCACCGCTAGCGACATCTCCACCGGCACAGATAAGTTTGTGGTACTGTTGCTATGGTAACGTAGACAAAAACTAGATGGCATTGGCATCCAATAACGGCATCCAGTCGCATCGGATGCGCGTATCCGAACCTGGCATCGTTATTCTAAAAACGCCCATCCCTATTGCTTACTACGATCTTTGTGGGGCCTTCTTTTATTTTATTTTTAATCATTTTTTATTATAGGTTTAAAATAAAAAAGACACTTCCGAACTCAATTTTTCACTTTCTTCTCACAACAATTTATTTGTCTTGTAATTACCAAAGTACCTACAGTTAATGAGATACAGTTGCTTCTGATTCTGACAGACGAACTTACGGACAGCGTAATAATGGTATTTAACCCACTCATCACCTGATTATCTAACATTTTTTTAAACATTTCTTGTAAGTAACCCAGGAAATTGTATAGGCACGTGAGTTTCTTTCAAACTAAAAGCTTCTCAAAGTGAAGGTAAGGTCAGAGAGCCATGTCAATTTGACTCGTGTGTTAACCGAGACGAGGCTGGACTCGATAAGGTATCATTAGAAATTGTGTACATTATATTTTACTTAATCGTGATCGTATACGTTATGTAAACGTTGCATTGTGTTTAATTACTAAAACGACTATCTTGTTACATGCGGTGGGCCCCCGTTTCCGCACGAAGACTCTATTTGGCCCATTGTGCGTGCTCAGTGACAGATCAAGGTTGTGGGACCAGCTAGCTCAGCCAGCCCAGCTTCTTCCAGACGCGCAGTTGCCTCCTGGGACGCTCACAGGCTTCTAGAAGCGTCCTCGGTGACCCGAGGGTGAACGCCCGTTGTTCTGCCATACTCGTGCATTCCAGGATTACACGAGCGGCCGTTTCATCTGTTACCAGACATCCTGACATCCTCTGCACAAAGAGCTATATGTAACATGTATGGTTAGTGAATGATTGTTAAGTGGGCAGTGCCCTGTTTTATTGTACCCAGCATTACTCGTAGGTCTATGCGGTTAAGCTTTAGTAATTTCGGGGTTAGTTCAGGGTTTAGACTAGGAAAAATCTCTTCAGAGAAAACGATTAACTACTGTGGACCGTTCCTTACTAATATAATAAACGAGAAAAATTGTTTGTATGTTTGTTACTACATAATATTCGCATGAAATTTTACATGCAGACAATTTATAACCTGAAAAGAAACAGGACACTTTTTATCCCGGAAAAGTGTAGGGTCCGTAATGATTTTCAGAAAAACTGAAGTTAGGCAGCTCTGAATCACAGCGGGCAATAGAGAGCCATGCTCGGTATTCCTCTACGTGATCGAATCAGGAATGAAGAAATTCATAGAAGAACTCCATTATACGACATAGCTCAACGAATCGCTTATATTGTTAAACTAATGGAATCAGATGACATATATGCATAATTTGAGATATAAGTGGTTTAATTAATACAAATTAGGTTCCTTATATACATAATTGTTTATTAATTAAATTCTTTTGTAATTTTTATCTTGAACTGTACTGTATATTGCGATACCCTGACAGGGTTCATGTTAGGTACTATAAGCGTTTTGTAACCATCGATGTAACCACATGAGTGCAATAAATTGAATTGAATCGCCATGCTGAGGTGGCAATGGGCGGGGCACATTGTTCGGTGATCCGATAGACGTTGGGGTCCCAAGGTGCTTTAATGGCGACCCCGCACCGAGAAGCCCAGTTTCAGTAGACAGACTAACGACATCAGGCGAGTCGGGGGGACCTACTGGATGCAGAAAGCTCAGGATCGTTGTGTTTGGAGATCCCTAGAGAAGCCCTATGTCCAGCAGTGGACGTCCAACGGTTGATTACGATGATGATGAAAGCTAACGCGGATGAAGTCGCGGGTGGCCTTAGAATAATCAAAACTGCTATTCACATTTCATAAAATGCTTTTTTTGCATCCAGTTCTGTAAATTTTTGAGGAATTCTTTAGAAAACAAATTCTAGTAAAACTTCTTTAGATTTAAACATCTAGCAGTTAAATGCTTAAAAAATAAATAAAAACATAACTATAATTGCTATTTCTTCTTTCAAATGTTAAATAATTGAAAAAGTATTTATTTGACATTGTGGGTTATCTACAATGCGAAGAGATGGTGCTGCCTTGCAGCTTAAGAAAATTGCTAGAAGAATTTCGGCGCGGCCATCAGGGCCGTGGTAGCATAATTGGTCAGTGCATTCGCCCGGATTGCGAAGGGCGCGGGTTAGAGTCCCGTCCGCTGCCTGGTTCGCGTGGATTTATTTCGAATTCTTTATATTCAATGAATTCAGAACCACCTCCTTTTTTAGAAATCGGTTAAAAAGTTTCAAAAATTAGTAAAGTAAAAAAATTATGTTTGCTTTCTTTATTCACATTTGATGCGTAATAATAATATGGCAACCCAGACTCCTCAAGTAATACTTACATGGCGTGAGACTCTGATATAATGTATTGATAATGTTTCTAATTTTGGCTTTAAAAAATAGTATAATAAAAACAATACAGGAAACTTATCGCCCAACAGAACAGTAGTCGTGGTCGTGGCCGTTGCGTAATCGTCGCGGAATCGTCTCGCCCCCGTCACCATTGTTGCTCGCTACCATCCGGTGTTCCGGTGAGGCTTCAATTGAGTTGTATAACTGGACTGTGCGGCCTAGATCTAATAACCTGTTCGTCTTCGCATGTATAATACCTACCTATCTATACAATGAAATGGCAAAAGCACCAATGTCAAACTGCGATTTAATTATTTTATTAGATAACTAACGGGTGCCCCGACTTCGTCTGTCGTCGTCTGGAAAAAATAGTTTCCTTAACATGTTTCCGCTTCCGTTTTTCTGGGATATAATCTATTATTATGTCCTTCCCCTGGACTCTAACTATATCTGTATCAAATCTTATCTAAATCTATTGAGAAGTTTAACCGAGAAGAGGTAACAGATGCGTGGGTAACACTGAAAATGTTTAGAACTGGCCAGTTAGAAACATTGCTAATGAAAACTATTTTTGAATTTCAATTTTAGACCTCTTTGGTAACCTAATGTAGTATATTGCATTCATTTGTCATTTGTTTTGTGAATTGGCGGCAAATCTAAAACTCTTGTTACACTTGAAAATGAACCTAACGCGAGAAAATTTTCGGTTAATGATTTATTATGACTTTCGCTGTGGGCTTACTCAACAACAAAGTTATGATAGGCTACGATTAGCATTTCTTAATGAAGCCCCATCTCGTGCCACTATTTACAATTGGTTTAACGAGTTTAAGCGTGGTCGTAGCAATCTCAATGATGATCCGCGTGAGGGCCGTCCTTTAACAGCGACTACTGAAGATAACATCAGTGCTGTGCGACGCATGATAGAGGTGGATAAGAGAGTGACCTATTCACCTATCAGCAGATACGAGCAAGCCTAGGCATTGGTATGAGTCAAGTTAAAAAAATATTATACGAACATTTAGGTGTCAGGGAGCTTTGTACCAGATGGATTCCCCATACTTTAACCGACGACCAGAAACACCTTCGC